AAATATTTTAAGAAGCCCTGGTCCAACATTAAACTTTTGTTTGATTTCAACAAAAATTGCATATATGGGGTTCTTTGATAAGATGAAGTTAACTATGTATATATATTTTGGGTTTTAGGCCCTGTTACAAAATTGGTTCCCATTTAGGTCCAAAGAGTCCAAAATTAAACTTTTGATTTCATCAAAAATGAAATTATTGGGGTTCTTTGATGTGCTGTTCCTAACCATGTAGTTAGATTTTGGATATAAGACCATAATAGGTAAATGATCAATTTCAAAATTTTTATTTCTTAGACCACATTCATTCTGTGTCAGAAACCATGCTATGCCAAAAATATATTTAATCACAATCCAAATTTAGACCTGCATTGCACAATTGATAGAAATTGTAAGTAAAGTCATAGTTAAAGATAGATAAAAATAGATACAGCATCAAAACTTATTTAAGAGAAGAAATATTTATAAATAGTTTGAAATTTACTGTTCATTATTGGATAACAATTACAGTTTAGTTTTATAGATTTTTTATTAATGAGGAATGATATTTTTTTAAATTGTGTATCTCATTTGTATTTTTAAATATTTTTTAAGATTTTCGTGGTACTGTTGTTTAATATTCTGTATAAATTAATATTCAGAATGCTATATGTAATTTTTTTTGATGCCCATTAAGGTTGCAATTCTGTAAATACAGACAATGCAATTTCCCATAGGAACTCCCTTTGCGGCTAAAACTGTGACACTTTTACTATGAAGTTTCGTGAAAAATAATATCCCAGAACGGAAAGTTTATATGCACTACTATTTTATTCAAAGGTCAAAATATAGGGCTGTGCGGCATATTTTCAACATTTATATGCCCTGAACTTCTAAGAGTTTAAACTTATACTAAAATTCTATACTACCCTTACCTCCATTTTTGGACCTCCTAAGAATTAAAATTTAGCCGCTACCATGTTTATCTATACTGGTTACATTCCCAAGTGATGTCTCTATGAGATGAAACACAGAGATCATCAATGGGAACCAGTACGTTAACAAATTAACATACCTATGAATATTAAATATCTCCCCAAAAGAGGCGTGGTTTGAGAAACAGCTGTATTTACAAAGTGCAACCTATACAAACATTTATTCAAATAGAAAACTCTCTAAAAACACTTTTTCTCACAACAATACTTATTTATCAGAATTATAGCCTTAAAGAAATCACTGCATATACTCTAAGTCTCCTTTTACAGTACATTTTATACCCCTACCCCTGTTTCAATTTTTTAAAGATTTTGAAAACAAGACTCTAATTATTGCCAGCTTACCCTATGTGCATGTTTTCTGACATGAACTGTCTAAAACCTGTTTGAAACTATTCTGATAACAAATTGAAAGCATTTTAGAATACTATAAATGTATTGTTTAGTAGTTAAGCATTCCAACATTCAAGATTATACAAAGTATCCAATCCTGCCTGTGTCTCCAGTCCACATCTTACTGTATGCCTATTTGTCAATGAAAGTTCACAATTTCTGCCTCAAATGGTCAGTTTAGAATTCTTGTCACAACAGTATCATCCCTAACCATATATCTAACATAAGTTAGTTAATATATGTCCTAGAAGTGTTTAAACAAAGGCATATTTGCAAAAGTTGTATTTATGAAGATATCAGTCTGGTGCATAAATTCACTAAAAGTTTGATTGAAATGACTGCTTACATCTGATTTTTGCATAACTTCCTAGCACAGTTATTGTTTACTTTATAAAAGACCTTTAAAATAAAAAAATCATAGCATTTACAAGTTAAATTATCTGTTTTATGACTCAGGGGTAGGCATTTTCCTCTGTTTTTTGCCCCTGGCGCCTCACATTTCCTAATTTCTTTCCCTGTTTCTAGCAATGTGAAATATTTACTACATATTTAGGATAGAACACACTATTGTAAGTTTTACTGAGGTCTTTTTGTAATTCTAGCTTGTACTTTTTTATGCCGCAGTCACAAAAAAGCACATTTAGGCGTTACGGCTTACTTTTGGGTTATCGACAGGACAAAAACACCCCACCAGAAATATTTAGGAAGGATCAATGGGTTGCAATTACTGCGAAGAGTAAATATAAGCACTTCTAAACAATTTAAATTACAAATAGGCATATATTATGAATTTATTTTGAATTCAGGGCTTTAAGTAAACCATGCATACTGTAAACTGTGAATTTATGCTGAGTCATCATAGTTAAGGCCCAGGATTTTCTCAATCTTCATGAAATATTTATAAAACTTCATATTTGAGTTAAATTCTTTAAAATCTCTGAGATAAACTAGATTTTGTGAAATTCTGTATGTTCTATTTTTTAACCCTATATAGGTTGCAATTCTGTAAATACAGACAATGCAATTTCCCATAGGAACTCCCTTTGCGGCTAAAACTGTGACACTTTTACTATGAAGTTTCGTGAAAAATAATATCCCAGAACGGAAAGTTTATATGCACTACTATTTTATTCAAAGGTCAAAATATAGGGCTGTGCGGCATATTTTCAACATTTATATGCCCTGAACTTCTAAGAGTTTAAACTTATACTAAAATTCTATACTACCCTTACCTCCATTTTTGGACCTCCTAAGAATTAAAATTTAGCCGCTACCATGTTTATCTATATACTGGTTACATTCCCAAGTGATGTCTCTATGAGATGAAACACAGAGATCATCAATGGGAACCAGTACGTTAACAAATTAACATACCTATGAATATTAAATATCTCCCCAAAAGAGGCGTGGTTTGAGAAACAGCTGTATTTACAAAGTGCAACCTTAAGCTAATAGCGTCCATTAATGTATAAACGAATTGAATTCTTGGTGTTATTGGATATGCTGAATCTAACCATGTATTTAGATTTTGGATATTGGACCATAACAGGTAAATGTCCAATTTCAAATTTTCCAGGTCTTTGACCTTATTCATTTTTTTTATCAGAAACCTATGCTGTGTCAAATATTTAATCACAATCCAAATTCAGAGCTGTATCAAGCTTGGCTGTCAAAATGTGGTGTCGACTCTTACCCCAACTTATCAGGGTTTTACCTCTGGGGTCATATCAAGCTGCACACTGTGGAGCATTTTAATTAAATATGAGACAGAAAGTGATTCTTGAAAATATTCGGCAATGAAATCAAGTAACAATGCAACCATGTCTTGTTTTTTGGTGTCTTTCTGCATCAATTTATGAATGAAACGTGTGCATATGACATCATTCATATAACCAAACAACTATCACAATGTTATATATTTGTAAAAGGAGTTTCTTAACTACTTCATGTAATTTAATATTCTACCCTCAGAAACATGCTGTTTAGACAAGTTGCTGTTAAAAGATATTGGCATTTCATGAAACTCACTAATTAAATAATTCCTAGCTCAAAAATGCCTTTTGTTAAGCATTAAGATAGGGTTAACAGTTCTGTATTTTTTTCAATTTTCAATCTCAATTTGTTTGGGACCAGAGGATCTCTGTCGATGCATGTTTATCTAGCATGGATAGATCACAGTGAAATCTATAGTGTTTACATAAGTTATGATAGCAACATGGTCTATGAAATTGTAAAGCAAAGGAAAAATTCTCACAGACCAATCAGATTCATGTATTTGTAGATGTGCAGCAAATTATATAAGATTTATTGGGGTATAATGATGTAAGTTTACATATAATCCATATAAACCTAAATAGTTAAATACTTGTTCTAAAAGAGTACATGTCATACCTGTCAACCTCTGAACTGAAAATGCAGGTCATGACCTGTATTGAAGAAGAAAATGTCAGGTCATAACGCGTACAAACTTTTTCGGTCCAATTTTAGTATTGAGAGTTTTTTTTATATACGATAACATATACACGTACCACTGACAACATGACTGAGTTTCCTAAAAATAATCACTTTTGTTTTTGTTAAGTATATAAATATTTATCATTAATTAAATATCTTTCTAAAGCAATGCCCTTTTTATTGTTTTATTCACACTAGTTTACTTCTTCTTATTAATGAATGTCATAAACCCCAGCTATACATGTAATATCTAGAGCATATGGATTTGATTTAAAGCTTTTACATTTAAGTGATAACAAAATTATTCTCTCCACCAGAAATGTATTAAAAGGTTCAAATTGTTTTAAAATGATTTCTACAGGATATTTGATATTTGCAAACGACATATCTTTTAATCAGGACATAGAATTGTATGTCAAGCTTGACTGGCTTCAACTTTCTGTGGTACAATTAACAAACAATCCTCGAATTGTTACTTTTCAATCAAATGTAATGTTTTGATACATTGTGATAACTGCCATTGGCATGGTAAATAAGCAAATTCTAATTTTAATTGTTTACCTTAATTTTCAAAGGAAAAAACGCTGAGAAAATCGAAAGTATATTTGACTTCTAAATACCGGAAACAATACCGGTCAGAAATACGGGTGAAAACGGTTCATTTTTGAAATCCCGGGTTGTTGTAGATTTAAAAAACCCGGGTAAGGGGTGAATTCTCGGGTGTGACCCCGGAGGATACGGGTCAGTTGATAGGTATGACATGTTTAATAGTGATAGATTTTGGCAAAACCGTCGCATATTTTGTATCGTTAATGCTCACTTTGTACTTTATTTGGCCTTTTTAACTATTTTGATTCAGGCATCATTGATGAGTCATTTTTAGATGAAAAGTGTGTATGTTGTACAGAATTTAAAGCCTGCATGGTATCTATCATGTCTATGATGCATTTATTTATTTTTTTTGTTTAAATAAATGAATTATATTAAAATGTAGTAATTTCCTTAGCCTATTATACAGAACAAGGATAAACTGAAAAAGACAAACAAATCATCAATGTTGCTTCATAAAAAAAATAATTTCAAGACATATTGACATGTTTTTGTAATATTAATGAGATGGAAAACAAAATATTTCAGAATAAGTGGATATTGATTTCTTTGAGCACTTAATTTCAGAGATAAATGTTGATGCAGTATGTATTAATGCTGGTCCATCAGATCAATGTAAAGATGCCATGTCAACATGTAGTCAGGTTACTGGAGGTGCCTACAGATGTACATGTAACAGTGAATATTACAACAATGTTGGAACTTGTACTAACAGTATGTATCTTTTTTCCTTCTATGGTATACATGTTTCTCTCTGCTGGTCATTTTGCTGGAATATTTATGTCCTTAATTTCCAATTCATTGATTTAATCATTCAATTTTTATACGCCCGTTTACGGGACATTCATGGTATACCGTTGTCCGTCTGTCCATCCGTCATCAACATGTCGGACATAAACTCAAAAACGCTTTAACCAATTTGCATAAAACTTTGGTGAATTGTTTATATCTATTGACGTGAGCTCCCTTTCGTTTTTTATAAATTTTAAATTTTACGTTTCTGAGTTGTGGGGTTTTATTCATTAAAAAAAGGGGGATTTTCCAGTTTTCGGACAGTAACTCAAGAATGCTTTCACCAACTTGCAAGAAATTGTGGTTAATTGTTTATATCTATTGACATGAGCTCCCTTTTAATTTTTATAATTTTAGATTTTACGTTTCCGAGTTCGGACAAAAACTCAAAAACGGTTTAACCAATTTGCATAAAACTTTGGTGAATTGTTTATATCTATTGACGTGAGCTCCCTGTCGTTTTTTATAAATTTTAAATTTTACGTTTCTGAGTTATGGGGTTTTATTCATTAAAAAAAGGGGGATTTTCCAGTTTTCGGACAGTAACTCAAGAATGCTTTCACCAACTTGCAAGAAATTGTGGTGAATTGTTTATATCTATTGACATGAGCTCCCTTTTAATTTTTATAAATTTTAGATTTTACGTTTCCGAGTTCGGACAAAAACTCAAAAATGCTTTCAGCAGTTCTTATGAAACTATGGTGAATTGTTTATATTTATTGATGTAAGCTCCCTTTAGAATTTTATAAATTTTACATTTTACATTTCTGAGTTAAGGGGTTTTATTCATTAAAAAAGAGGGGATTTTCCAGTTTTCGGACAATAACTCAAAAATGCTGTCAGCAATTCTCATGAAACTTTGGTGAATTGTTTATATCTATTGATGTAAGCTCCCTTTTGATTTTCATAAATTTCTTATATGACATTGAGAATTAATTGAACTTTATTTGTTTATAGTCTGACAACAGATTTACTAAGTATTGCGCAACAGCACAGTGTATTGCACAACAGCAAGAAATCTTTAATTGAATATAAATTCAATTCATATAACCAATTTCAAGTTCTTTGACTACATTTGTTCTGTATCAGAAACCTGTAATATGTCAAATATTTAATTACAATCCAAATTCAGACCTGTATCAAGCTTGAATATTGTGTCCATATATGCCCCAACTGTTCAGGGTTGGACCTCTGCGGGCGTATCCAGCTGAGCTCAGCGAAGCAGTTTATTTTTTTATACTACTGCCTAATATGTTTTTTAAATGGGTGACAGAAAGGGATTCTTGAAAATATTAGGAAATGGAGTCGAGAAACAATGCAACTGTGTCATTTTTTTCATGTTCATCTGCATCAATTTATCAACGAAAGTTGAAGTTCACATATGACATCATTCATACAACCAAACAACTATCACAATGTTATATATTTTTAAAAGCAGTTTCTAAACTACTTCATGTGATTAAATTTTCTTCCCTAAGAAACATATTATTCAGACAACTTGCTGATAAGTATAATGACATTTCATATTTTGATACTGAATTCATCAGCTTTAATATTCCTGAACTTTTAAGTTGACTCGCTTGATATTATGCATATAAATTCAGTATCTAAAACAAAAACATCATTATCTGTATAGTAATTTTTAGTACAACCTTGACATCAGATACTGTCCAAGTGCTCAATTTTCTCCATTTAGTTTTTGTCTTGCCTTGACGGAGTCAAAAAGCAAGACATAGGTATGCTGTTTCCAGCGGCGGTGGCGTCAACAATGTATAAGTTTGTGATTAGGTCTAGTTTATGGTGAACCACAAGTGGTAGGTCAATGATATTTGGTATGCAGTTGTATTAGCATTGGCACATCTCATTTCCATGGAGATTACTTGGCCCTGCCCCCCCAGTCATGGTCTATTGACTTTGAAACTATTGCTTAGTTTGCATGTATTAGTTTGTGATTAGGTCAGTTTATGGGGAACCACTAGTGGTAGGTCAATGATATTTGGTATGCAGTTGTATAAGCATTGGCATATCTCATTTCCATGGAGATTGTTTGGCTCCGCCCCCTTAGTCATGGTCTATTGACTTCGAAAATTTTACTTAGTTTACATGTATTAGTTTGTGATTAGGTCAGTTCAAGAGGAACCATTAGTGGTAGGCCAATGTTAATTGGTATTCAGGTGTATAAGCATCAGCACATCTCATTTCCATGGAGAATATTTGGCCCCGCCCCCTCAGTCATGGTCTATTGACTTTGAAACTTTTGCTTAGTTTACATGTATTAGTTTGTGATTTGATCAGTTTAAGAAGAACTGCTAATGTTAAGTCAATGATATTTGGTATGCAAATTTATTGGCATTTGCAAGTATCGTTTCCATGGAGATTATATAGCCCCACCCCCTCATCATGGTTCATTGACTTTGAAACTTTTACATAGTTTACAAGTTAATGTTTGTGTTTAGGTTTGTTTAAAGGGAACGACTTATAATAAGTCACTGGTTTTTGCTATGCAGTTGTATTAGCATTGGCACATCTCATTTCCATGGAGATTGTTTAGCCATGTACCTTCAGTCATGGTTCATCCACTTTGAATATTTGCATAACTTACATGTTAAAGTATTGCTATTTTAATTGCAACATTTGCACTATCAAAATTACAAAAAGGCAAGACATATCTCTGTGATAACAGTTTATTGTCATATTCTCTGGTGTATTACCTCATATTTCATCTTTTTGACTTCTTTCCAATAGATTTCCTATATTTTAAAAATAAAACAGTTGACAGGGGATTAAATGTCAGTGTAAAAAGATTGTGTTCCATCAAATAAAATAGAAAGAAACCATAAAATTTGAAAAAACATAAAAAGGTTTTTTTTGTAAAATAGAATATTAAAGATGGAATAATCACTGTAAAAAAATTTGTTCATAAATTTTAAGATGAAGTTTGGTCCAATTGAAAACATTCTATAATTTTTTTTTGATTTAGTATTTCCCTAAAGTAGCCAGCTACTCTATAAAATTTTGATATAAAAGAAGCGGTGGAGGATTTATTAATTTTTATGCGGTCGTATATTCGTATCACTTCGTCATCGTCGTCGTCCGAAGACACATTGGTTTCCGGACAATAACTTTTGTTTAAGTGTATGGATTCTATGAAATTTTAACATAAGGTTTATGACCACAAAAGGAAGGTTGGGATTGATTTTGGGGGTTATGGTCCTAATAGTTCAGGAATTAAGGGCCAAAAAGAGGCCCAAATAAGCATTTTTCTAGTTTCCAGACAATAACTTGTTAAATGGTGTATGGATCAAGGCTTCCAAAACAGTCATATATACCGGACATTTGTATAATGTCCGGTAAATGTCAGGCTAGGCAAAGCATGAAACGGTCATCTACTTTTTAGTTTTCAAGGCTTTCTTGCTTAAGAGACGGTCATTTTAACATAATTCGCGATCTTTTTGACCCAACCTTTTGCCTTTAACAGCCACACATTTCCGGTCATAAAAGTGACATGATCATTAAGTACTATCAAAACAACCCCTACTTTAATACCTTCTCATTTTAATCAAGGCTAATTAGTTGTCAAACAGCTGAAATTTACCTGTTCAGGTGACAGGTAAACTATTTTGAACCGGACATTGATCGGTCTATTCAAAGTTATTTTCTTATATTTCAGCGGTTTGCTTCTAATTAATTTAGCCAAAAAGATTTAAATTATCAGAAATAGGTTAACAAATATGATTTGATAAAAAAATTTAAAAGGTGAAAATGAATAATCCTCATAACCACTTTGTTTGAACCAGAGACATGTCTCTGTTTTAACAGTACATGTGTGCGCATGTGCGCAGGTGTGAAATTTAATTATGCATCCTTATATCTTCAAAAAATGCTTAAATTGTCATTGATACCTTTATCTCACGTTTATTTTGAATATTTTCTTGAAGAAATAACGTAGAAAGAGCTACTTGCACACATTCATGCTTAGCAAACGTACACGGAATTTACGTATCCGTCTCTGGTCCATGTTTTACCATTGTCAAGATAACATCCGCTTTAGATTTAAAAACGAAAGTAAAGTTTTTGACAACGTTATTTTGCACAAATAAAGAGTCTAAGGCAGATATAAGTACGCTGATGTTGCACACTTCAAATGATGCACTGCCAATTTAACAGTTTACGTCAGAACTTCAAATTTGAATCAAAGAAAGTTTAATATCGTTTTTTTTTGTCAATCATTGGGATGGCCAACTCGGCAACTGATTACCATTATTGCCTTTTGTTAATTTTGTCTTAAGGGATTAAAATCGGGTTAATATATAAAATGTCCAGCTGGCTAAAAATAATTTTGGAAGCCCTGGTATGGATCTTTCTGAAATTATACCACAAGTTACCATATCACAAAGGGATGGTAAGAACTTGCTTTGGGGGGTTATGGCTCAAACTGTTTAGGAATTAGGGGCAAAAAAGGAAGAAAAACAAGGGTTTCCAGGTTAATGGACAATGACTTAAGTACAAAACATAATTTTAAAGCAGTGTAAGGGAGGTAATTCAAACACATATTGTCAAATTACTTCCCTTACACTGCTTGTTAATTATTTATAAAGAAATGTATTGTCTTTAGGTCATTAGTTGTCAATTTATTTTTAGAAGTTACTATTTTAAAAATGTTTAATAAAGGTAATTTAATTATAGCCATGATTATGTATGTGAAGGAATTTTATTTTTAGATATTACTATTCGATGTTGCTGATGGAGGCTTTTTAATTTTAGGCATGATTATGATGTCATTTTCTATTTTAAAAATTATTTAATTTTAGCCATGATTATATAAATATGTATGTGAAGGAATTTTATTTTTAGATATTACTATTTAATGTTGCTGATGAAAGTGTTTTAATTTTAGGCATGATTATGATGTCATTTTCTATTTTAATACTTTTATGATGTATTTAAATGGGTTTTTATGGTTGCAAAGTCCTAGCTGTCAATTTATTTTTTAGAAGTTATACTTTTAAATGCTGATGAAGGAATTTTATTTTTAGATATTACTATTAAAAGTTGCTGATGAAGTTTTTTTTAATTTTAGCTATGACTATGATGTCATTTTCTATTTTAATACTTTTATGATGTATTTAAATGGGCTTTTATGGTTAAAAAAAAGCATTTTTCTAGTTTCCAGACAGTAACTTGTGATTAAGTGTATGGATCTCTCTAAAATAAAATTGTACTGCAAGGTTCCATACTACAAAGGAAAGACTGCAATTGAGTTTGATGGTTAATGCTAAAAGGGGGATTCAAAAAGTTTGGGGGAAAGGGGGGGTTCCAATTTCTTTTTAAAAGGGTTCATATTTTTTTTCTTCAAAATTTCAAAATTTCAAATTTTTGAAAAGTTTCAAGAAGAAATCTTCAATTGCACAGTATTGCGCATTAGATTTGTAAGATCTTTGACCACATTTATTTTGTGTCAGAAACCTATATTATGTCAAAAATTTGATCACAATCCAAATTCAGATAGTATCAAGCTTGAATATTGTGTCCAAATTTGCCCCAACTGTTCAGGGTTCGACCACTGCGGTCGTATCAGGCTGCGCTCAGCGAAGCATTTTATTTAATTTGCATTTATTAGTGTTAAAAAATGCACTACTTTTTTATGTTATTAATAGTGGTCTTGGATAAAGACTTTGGCTTCTATCCTGATTTGTTTACAGGTATCAGTTTTTGTCGAGCCTTCGACTTTTGTCGAAAAAGCGAGACATAGCGATCCTACATTCCGTCGGCGTCGTCGTCGGCGGCGTCCACAAATATTCACTCTGTGGTTAAAGTTTTTGAAATTTTAATAACTTTCTTAAACTATCCTGGATTTCTACCAAACTTGGACAGAAGCTTGTTTATGATCATAAGATTATATTCAAAAGTAAATTTTGTAAAAAAAAAATTCTGTTTTTTCCGTATTTTACTTATAAGTGGACTTAGTTTTTCTGCCAGGAAACATTACATTCACTCTGTGGTTAAAGTTTTTGAAAGTTTTATAACTTTCTTAAACTATCCTGGATTTCTACCAAACTTGGACAGAAGCTTGTTTATGATCATAAGATTATATTCAAAAGTAAATTTTGTAAAAAAAAAATTCCATTTTTTCCGTATTTTACTTATAAGTGGACTTAGTTTTTCTGCCAGGAAACATTACATTCACTCTGTGGTTAAAGTTTTTGAAATTTTAATAACTTTCTTAAACTATCCTGGATTTCTACCAAACTTGGAAAGAAGCTTGTTTATGACCATAAGATAGTATCCAGAAGTAAATTTTGTAAAAAAAAAATTCCATTTTTTCCGTATTTTACTTATAAATGGACTTAGTTTTTCTGCCAGTTAACATTACATTCACTCTGTGGTTAAAGTTTTTAAAATTTTAACAACTTTCTTAAACTATCCTGGATTTTGATAAAATTTTGTTCCATTTTTTCCATAGTTTACTTATAAATGGACTTAGTTTTTCTTCCAGTCAACATTACATACATTCTGCAGTTTAAGTTTTTAAAACATTTATTAGATTCATACATTCATAAATTATCCTGGATTTTTACCAAACTTGGACAGAAGCTACTTACAATCAAAAGATAGTATAGAGAGGAATATTTTTATTAATTTTTTTCCTCAATTTTGTTGAGCCTGCGATTAACACCAAAAGTAGGCGAGACACTGGGTTCCGCGGAACCCTTATGAATTTTTTACTTGAAAAATTGTATGAAAAAATTATTCAAATAAGAGTACATTTCTTTGGTTGAATATCAATGTCCTATATATAGCAGAATATATTAAAATATATCAGGATTTTTCTAAAGTGGAACCTTAAAGGTTCATTGGGGGTATAATGATGCAATTGTTCATATAATCCATATAACTTGAATAGTAAAGCACTTGTTTAAAAAGAGAATACATGTTGAACTTATGTCTTTAGAATAAATGAAGTATTTTTAAAAAGTAGTACATTAAACATGGATAGTCACAAAGACTGACAAATCATAATATAAATGATACTATTGTTTCATAGAATAACAACTTCAAAACATATGGACATATGTATTATAATATTAATGAGATTGAAAACATAATGTTTCAGAATAAGTTGATATTGATTTTCAGAGATAAATGTTGATGCATCATGTAGCAGTACAGGACCATCAAACCAATGTAAAGATGCCATGTCAACATGTAGTCAGGTTACTGGAGGTGCCTACAAATGTACATGTAACAGTGGATATTACAACAATGTGGGAACTTGTACTATCAGTATGTATTTTTAATCCGCCCATGGTATATACAATTATGTTACTTTTTGATTGTTTTTTGGTAGACTATTTATGTTCTTTATAGCAGAATGCAGTCGCCTCTTGTCTCGAACGTGGTTGCCTCGAAATATAACACGAGAAAAAAATGTTTTAGGCCCTGTCATTGAAACACATTATTTTATAATAGTCTACTTTGTTTGATGAGTAGAAATTTCATTTGACTCTAACTAAATCTGATTTTCAAAGAATTATAAACCATGTATATTTTGTTTGTATTTATGTCGATTAATCACACATGTCAATAATTTTTAGCAGGGATTAAATGCCTTCTCCATGCTGATTGGCATTTTACCTATATATTAATTCGACAATCAATTATATCTTTTGAGTTCTGCTTTGGGACAAAAAATAACATGTAATAGTTTTGTTTAATTGGCACTCCTTTCTTTAAATTGCCCCAAGAGTACCATTATACGCATGAATCTTTTGTCACCAATCATGGCATGTTAATTAAAATAACCACTTTGATGCTTACACTGCAATAGATAAAATGTCCCCAAATGATATTTAAATAACTACAGAAGAAAACAAGACACCTTTTCAAATGAAAAAAATGATATATACGATCTCAATCAGAACAATGTATACGACAGAGCAGGATACACATTATTGGTTTTAACTCTCGCAAATTAAAGTTGTCTTCCACTTGATCAATTTCAAGTCGCCCGTATGAAATTATAAGGCGTATTACGCCTGGAAATAAGGCGTAAACCAGGCGTAAGTGGTACTTACATGTCTAGATCCAGGCATAAGGGAAGAGGAAACGTAAATTTGTAGTCCTTACAGGCGTAGAAAAAAGTGGTAAACCTGGCGTAAATTGAAATAAGCAAGGCGTAAATTTTCTTACGGGCATAAAACTGTTGGTATGGCGTAAATCATAATACCCATAATGCTTTGTTTAAAGGATCATGGGAATTTTTTTCAAAATTTGGCTCTTTGGTTTTAGTTTGCAAGAGTTGGACTTATGGCAGCTTCATATGTTCAGGGATAATTAGCTTGTTTTGTGCTTTTTGAAAGAATTTGAAATTGGAAATATGGAATCAAATTGAATAATAAAAATTGTGAAAAAATGGAAAGTAAAACATGGTAAATAATAATTATGTGAGTATAACCTAAGTTATTAAGTTTTAAGTTCTAACAGTAATTTTGAAATCCCAAAACCTTTAACCTTGGATAATAACATTAAAATCTTTTACATGAAGTTAAATTGCAGTATTATCATTATATTTTAAAGGACATTAATTTATAAAAAACTTAGTTAATTAAAATGCTTAAGTTTTATTTCAAGAAAAATTAATTGTCATAATTCTTATTTAAACTTTAAACTTATTTGAGCCAGTGGCAGTGTCTGTCTAAAATGAATTTATTTACTTTAGTATATATTAGCTTCTTCAATGGTTAATATTTCCAGTTTTATGTCAAACAATGAGAAATTAAAGCAACAGTACAGAAGTTTGTATTAAATACACAAAAGAACACAGCTAGGGTAATACACTGATTTGAAATAAGTGTAGTATTATGTAAGGATATTACGCCTGGTTTATTTATTGACCAGGCGTACTCATTTGCATATTACGCCTGGTTTTCTCTGAACCAGGCGTACTCATTTAAATATTACGCCTAATCTTACGCCTGGTTTCCGCCTCAGTTACGCTTGGTTTCCGCCTGGTTGACGCCTGGACATGCATTCCTTTAAAACACTGCAATGACGCCCGGATAAAGTATGATTTTTACGCCTGGTTTCCGTGTCATATACGGGCGTCACAGTTCGAACAGGTCTAAGCTCTTTTTTTTAGTTGAACTTCATTTGCTCAAATTTTTGTTACTGTCCTACAGGTTTCTGGATAATGAGTTGACTGTACATTGAAATATTTCAGTATTTTTCAAAAAGGTTCATTGGGGAACATTGATGCAAGTTTCAAAATTTACATTCCATATTAATTGAATAGTCAAAAAACTTGTTTTAAAAGTGTATAAATTTAACTTAGTATATAGTTAAAATAAATGAATTTCTTGAAATAGTAGTAATTTCTGCAGTGGACATTTAAATAAAAGTTGGATAAACTCACATGAACAGACACATCAGAAGTATAGATGACACTGTTACTTTATAGAAAAATAACTTCACAACATATTGACACAATTGTATAATATTCATGAGATTGAAAGCAAAAAAATTCAGAATAAGTTGATAATATTTTCTTTGTAATCTTAACTTCAGAGATAAATGTTGATGCAATATGTATTAATGCTGGTCCATCAGATCAATGTAAAGATGCCATGTCAACTTGTATACTTGTTTCTGGTAATCACAAATGTACATGTAACAGTGAATATTACAACAATGCTGGAGCTTGTACAAACAGTATGTATCTTTATTCCTTTATAGTTTATATGTTTTCCTCTGTTGGTCCTTTTTTGCGGAATACTTATGTCCTTTATTAATCTGGGTACATAAACTATATCAGTAGTTTTTAAAATGCTGCCTAGAGGGTTTATTACAGAATAATATGCAAGTTTACATATTTACATTCCATATTACTTGCTGGTAATTTTTATGCCCCACCTACGATAGTAGAGGGGCATTATGTTTTCCCGTCTGTGCATCCCTTCGTCCGTCCTGTCGTCCGTCCGTCCGTTTGTTCGTTCATCCCTCTGTCCCGCTTCAGGTTAAAGTTTTTGGTCAAGGTAGTTTTTGATGAAGTTGAAGTCCAATCAACTTGAAACCTAGAACACATGTTCCCTATGATATGATCCTTCGAATTTTAATGCCAAATTAGAGTTTTGACCCCAATTTCACGGTCCACTGAACATAGAAAATGATAGTGCAAGTGGGGCATCCGTGTACTATGGACACATTCTTGTTTATGAATACTAATGTTCTGTAATACAGTAATATAAGAAATACAAGAAAATATTGAAATAGAAGTGAAATTCACTATAATGCATCCCAAAGGGTTGATAAAGGTATAGTAATTAAGCCACCTAGATCTCTATCTTCTAATTATAAAGCCCATGCTGAATGGCATCCTTTGCCTTATCAGGATTATTACATAGGCAGCTCGAAGTCTTTTTGGTAATGGGACATTACATACCACACTTTATATAGGGAGAATGCCATGCTGATGGAAAGCAAAAGTTTTACAGATCTATCTTTAGTATTATCAAGTTGTCAGTATGAAATAAGGAGATGTTTTATTATTGCCAATGAGAAAACTATCCAATACAGTCTAAATGAAGCGGATCAGTAAGCAACTATAGGTGACCATAGGTTCACTTTTGCAGCACTTATAACATTACTTGGAATGGCCTAAAAAAGATAAGAATTTCAACTGAATAAAATGTTTGTAAAGATTTTTAGACTTACTTTTTTGTTTGAAAGCCTGAACCAATATAGTAAGAAAACTAACAAAGAATATAAATTGTTTGTCTTTTCCTTTAACAGAATTAGGATCAGGAGTGATATGTACCAGAGTTAATGATGCTGCAGAATGTGTGTCTAATGCTGTTTGTAAAACTGTCAGCTCAGCTCTGAAGTGTACCTGTAATTCTGGTTACTATGATGATAAGTTTGGTACTTCTGGTGGACAATGTAAAGCAGGTTAGTTAATATATCTTATAAATGCTTTTTTTGTACACTTGCATTAGGAATACTCAAGTGTCTTAACAATTTTCACGCTCTTAATTGTCCTGAGACTTGATTAGCGAACAAATTTAACAGAGATTATCAATGATATGCAATAAACATCAAATCATGAAAAAAAAAGTAATCAGGCTTCGATGTTACCATACATTTAAGTTTCTAATTGTTTGTCACTAAAGTGTATGTGCAGTTATTATACCCCACGCAACGAGTTGCGGAGGGTATAATGTTTTTGACCCGTCTGTCCGTCCTTCAGTCCGTCAGTCCCTCAGTCCGTCAGTCCTGTTTCTTGTCATCGCAACTCCTCTCAAACTACACAACAGAATTTCATGAAACCTTTTCAGATAATAAGGACATACTACGTAGATGTGCATATCGACAGGAAATTACGATTCAATTTTTTTTCCAGGAGCTACGCCCCTTTGAACTTATTTGCCCAATATACTACTGCAACCTTTTGTCATCGCAACTCCTCTCAAACCACACAACAGAATTTCATGAAACCTTTTCAGATAATAAGGACATACTACGTAGATGTGCATATGGACAGGAAATTATGATTCAATTTGTTTTCCAGGAGTTACACCCCTTTGAACTTATTTGCCCAATATACTACTGCAAACTTTTGTCATCGCAACTCCTCTCAAACCACACAACAGAATTTCATGAAACTTTTTCAGATAATAAGGACATACTACGTAGATGTGCATATCGACAGGAAATTACGATTCAATTTTTATTCCAGGAGTTACGCCCCTTTGAACTTATTTGCCCAATATACTACTGCAACCTTTTGTCATCGCAACTCCTCTCAAACCACACAACAGAATTTCATGAAACCTTTTCAGATAATAAGGACATACTACGTAGATGTGCATATCGACAGGAAATTACGATTCAATTTTTATTCCAGGAGTTACGCCCCTTTGAACTTATTTGCCCAATATACTACTGCAACCTTTTGTCATCGCAACTCCTCTCAAACCACACAACAGAATTTCATGACACTGTGTAGATAAGGACATACTATGTAGATGTGCATATTGACAGGAAATTATGTTTCAATTTTTTTTCTGATACAATTTTTTTTTCTTACATTTATTTTATTTCTCCAATGACAATGTGGGGACGTGGGGTATGTGAGCGCGCTCACTAAGGTTCTTTAATTTTGTAAAAAAATAATGACAATCTATACAAGAAATTGTATGGATTGTATTATTACACACTAGTAAATAGAAGGACATGAATTTACTTAACATACTTTCAGAGGTTTGATGGTTGATTGTAATTTTAAAATTCCGGCATGATTTTCAGCTCAATACATTGTGCTAATTCACAGTAAAGTGTCATATGAATTCATTTGAATCTCATCATAGAAACTCATTATAGACATGATAGATACCAGGATTAAAATGGTACATACAGACATGCGTTTCTGCTACAAAAGGCTCATCAATGACGCTCGAATAAAAAATGTTTTAAAAGGCCAAATAAAGTATGAAGTTGAGCATTTAGGACCCAACATTCCTAAAGGTTTTGCCAAATACAAGCTTAGTAAATCTATTGCTATGGTAGAAATCCTTAGCATTTCGAAAATTTCTAAGTTTTTTTAACAGTAAATTTATTATATGAAAAGAGACGATTTCACATCCCCTTAATTTCAATCAGATACAAAATATCATTTTATCTGGTTGTTGAATAGACAAATAAATTTTGAGTTATGTTAGATCACCCTCGAATTTTGATGGGGTTGGTGTTGGTCAGTCTTAAAGGGAAATCACACTATTTAAACTACTAATAATAATTCACTGAAATTTTGCATGTAGACAGGTCATCCTATTTACGAAATTTTAAGCGAAAAAAAAAATGGGGTCACCGATGTTGTTTTCGAGATATGACGTCATCAATAACTAAAGAATCACATTATTCCTAAATACAGATATAGCGCTCAAAGTTGCGAAAAAAAATCAAAATTATTTTTAAAAAAATTCAACTGTTAATGCAAATACAGTCAAATGTTACTTATACCGTATAAACATTTATTTGTCTCAATTTCCTTATTTTTCAAGCCATTTGTATATTTCCCCCCATTTTTAATTGATAATTTCTATAATTTTTTTTTTGAAATGAAAAAAATCTACTTATGTTTTTTCCTTCAAACTTCTGCATAAGTAGCTTCTCAAGGGAAGATTTTAAAAACATAAATAAAAAAAGGGGGTCAACCATGTTTTAACACTGCTAAAAACGTATATAAGCTTATTATCGATTTTTGGCGGGACCTAAAACTATTTCCTTTTGTAACGTTATAGAACGACGTTGCCTGCATAGCAGCATTTCGCGCAACGCTTGCATTGGGTTGAATCAAACCCTTTATACTTTTAACTATAATATGATGTTTGAACATTTTTTAAACTATTTTTATTATTCATTAATATTTTTATTTGAATCGCTAAACATACAGTGACAGTTTATTATAAAGTAATTTTCAAAGATGGAGAAATCTCATTTTCTTTAGAATTTGCATTTGTTGTATCGGAATAACGAATGTTGACCACATGCCGTATTATAAAAAATGTCACACCCAGCATGTTAAAAAACCCTTGTACAAGTATTTTCGAATGGTCCTTAAAATTGGTTAAAGTTACAGTACTTGCACAACGCTAAAAAAATTTTTCGAACAGTGGCAACCAAATTTTTTTATGTGTCCCATCATCCCGAATTCGTTTTTCATACATCTTTTCATGCTCATTGTAAATCATATGTTTCCTGTCCATCGCCGGGATATAAAACAAAACCTTTATCGTTCAATCAATCGATCAATTTGTGTATATTATGAGGAAACTAAAATGCATCTGATAAATATGTATACTGGCTAACAATAAAAGACACATCGCCATATTCAAAATCCTTTTCATTTGTAATAAACTGATCTGTTTTTTTTATCAGCTGACAAATAAGAGTGTGGCTAACCATCGAATTAGAGTTCTAGTTTGAGTAAGGGTTAAAGTTCGAGTTAACATTTGGGTTAGAGTTTGAGTTATACTCTGAGCTCGAATATAAGTTCGAGTTAAAGTTTAAGTTACACTTCGAATTATACTTCGAGTTAAACTTCGAGTTAGAGTAAAAATTGGAATAAGAGATAAAACGAGTTCTAATATAATTAATAGTAAGATTGGAGTTTCTATTTTCTGCTTGTCCGCCGTTTTTTTAAATGAATATTCTTTCATCCGATGTATTTTTCAGTATGGTATACATTTGTTTGCCAATGATGATCAATGGAAGTTATCTACTAGAAGTAGTTTGAAAAGATTGATTGATTGTGTGTGTTGTATGCCACTTTCAGCACTCTCTGCATGCTATACTATAGTGGCCACTTTTTTATTGGTGAAGGAATCTAGGTATCCAGAGAAAATCAGCAACATTTTTATTTGTATAAACTGGTTATCCTTGGAATACGACGTTCTCCCAATTTCACTGTTGACAGGCACGTAATCACAGTGGTAAAGCTAAACATGTATCTACATCTTAACTATTTATTTTCGTTTTTTCGTTGTTTTCTTCAAACCATCGATTGATTGGCTTCTGCTAAACTTTCAGTGGCAAATAGTACATGAATATCAGCACGAAAACATGTTTCTATGCTTTGAATACGCTTTCAAAAGACGGACTTTTAATGTGTTGGTTACAGTACAGCAGTACTCCGGAAGACATGTCATTCTAAATAAAATTGTTTATGTGTGTTAAATATTCGTCTTGTCATAGACTTTTAGAGCTTAATATACAGTATGGGATGTTCTAGTTGTTGAAGGCCGTATGGTCCTCTGTAGTAGCTGACATCCACAATATTTGGTCTCTGGTAGATAGTTGTCAATTATACCACATCTTCTAATATTTAAAAAGATAATTAATATGTTTATTCAGGTGCTAAATTTCCATCCCCATCTTTCATAACTGGAGATTTACTCTTTTCCTCCTCTAAAGAGGTATCTAGTGAATCTTGTGCAACTTTTCTGATATGATCGTAAACTTTTTTTTCTCTTGGAAGCAGATTGTGACAACTAAATGATGTTTAAATTTGACAAATATCTGTTTACCTCTGTAGGACCCTGGCTTGTGTCATACATAGCTGTAAAATTGTTGATCGAGTCTAAGATATACATTTGTACTTAAAAAAATCGTTATAATATGCATGCATTATCTGTCAAAATACACTTACAGTAGATTATGTTTATATATCACAGAAAAGGAGTTTATTGTTCTCGGAAAATTGAGGTATAAAGAAGCAGATTTGTAATTTAGAAGATTAAAACTCACAAGAAATTATGTTCCTTGGGTTTTTTTTAATGCAGGAGAAGCAGTGAACCGAGATAAATTTGTTTTAAATATCCGGTGAAATCGAATATTTTTAATTGTCTGTACACATTGGCCACTCAGAAATAAAGGGGGTAGACGGTATTGATAGGAATGTTCTCCCTCAGCACGTCAAATAGTGCCCTGTAACGTCGGAGTAACCAGATCGCAAATGGTACCCAAATCTTCAAGTCAACATTGAAAATGAAACAAGTAGATTGATTTGATTCACAAAAAAATATTCTTATACAGGTCAAATCCAGGATTAAGTTATTGTTTTAACCTTTAACATGAAATCAAACAGACCTAGAAAAATCCAATTGCACATGGTCGCTATGTATATTTATATTTATGTTTATATTGGGTTATATGACCGTCGGCAGTCTTCGGAGGTCATCTGGATGGTTAATTAGATGGAGTCAAGACTAAAATACACATGAAATGCTGATATATATTATTGAGTAAATGCATAATTTTGTAAATTGTTTATTTTAGACTTATTGTAATTTGGATATACATTTTATACAAATAAGAAGATGTTTTGAGTGCCAATGAGACAACTATCCATCCAAGTAACAATGTGTAAAAAGTAAACAATTATAGGTAAAAGTACGGCCTTCAACACGGAGCCTTTGCTCACATCAAACAGCAAGCTATACAGGTCCCAAAAAGACTAGTGTAAAACAATTCAAACAGGAAAACCAACAGTCTAATCTTTATAAAAAACGAGAAACGAGAAACACTTATGAACCACACCAACATACGACAACCACTGAACAACAGGCTCCCGACTTAGGACAGGTGCATAAAAATGCAGCGTGTTTAAACATTTCAACAGGCGCCAACCCTCACCCTAACTCGAAACAGTGGTATAACATTACAACATAAAAAGAGACACAATAAAATATCAATTGAAATGGCTTAACTCTATCAAAAAGACAATACACAAAAATAAGTAAATAAACACTGAACGAATAAGTTTGATCAATGACACAATATAAAGTATGTTATAAATCAAATATGAGAATTTGAGTCAAATCGGTGAACATGAATTTGAGACAAATCGGTGAACATGTATTTGAGACAAATCGGTGAACATGAATTTGAGTCAAAGCTGAGAACATGAATTTGAAAGCTAATTCCCCTTTAATAAAGACAAAATAGTTAAAAAAAAATATCATACTTTCATTATCTGCCATTGATTTGAACTGTTTTTAAAGGTATTTACTGATATATCTAAAATGTATAAAAGTTACAAAAAACGATAAGGCCGTAATGTAAGTATGAATGAAAGGAAGCCCATGTAAATTTTTGGATCGGACAGATATCGGAAAAAATAGTCAACTCCAAAAATCGCCGACTTTTTACCACTACTGTAGTCACAGGCACTTGTCTCAGGTTTTTTTTTTACCTATATACTGTGATATAACACGTTAAGTTTATAGGTAATTTTTTCAGAGACAACAAGTGCCTTTGATTTTAGTATCTGAGTTGTGCAACCCAACCCCATGAATATTGACGGCCACCTTAAGCCAGACACCTGTCCGTAAATCATTGGCCGTCAGTTTATGTGCCGTATGTAACAATTTTTTTTATTTAAAAAAAAATATGGCGTATAAAATAGCCGAAATGTACACAAAATGATCCTGTAATTTGTAAACAAAGTTCATTTTTACTTCAAGAAATACCTTTTTGCACCCAAATTTGTATTGAAAACTTGAAAGAACATGCTTTAAGGTCAAATCAATTATGGTTTATGTTTGCATTCACAAAATCTATAAAATATTTCATGATGAGAGGGAAAGACCTTCTTTTCATAACATGTAATTTTTTGTCATCGGTATGCTTCGACATTGTTATAATATCAATTACATATGTTACTGTGTTTTAATTTGTACATAGGCTTTGCAATCCAATACAAAAAAAGGCACCTGCTTTTCTTTTGAGTGGGCTGTCATTTTAGAAATCAACAATCTTTACGACAGACTCGAAAAGCGTGACGTCATAATACGGTTACGACACTATAGCGGAGCCGAGAGCAATGCCATGGCGTTGTCAGTTTGTTTTCCACTTATGAGATTGAATATCACTTTGGTATCATTCACCTCTCTATTAAGTAAAGCAGCAATGTAAATTTGCTTTTAAACACAACGTTTCAGAAATCAGAATTACCACAATATAAAACAAGTTCAATTTTCCGCAAAAAATGAAACAGTCAATTCATTTGGGAAATGGATAGAAAACGGAAAATTGAATTTTTATTTTATATTTTGAAAGTCCAAAGTATAAAGAAAATGTTTGTAAAAAAACATTTTTACAGAAACTGCTGTTTTTCGATTCACCAACTTCACCCAACCTTCTGCTCATTATAATACCTACTAGCATGGTGTTGTGTTACCCCTGTTGTCAACCTTTCATTCAACTAAATCAGCATATGATTTGATAACACATATTCTACAGTTTGCAAGTTTAATATCTTGTGCAGATAGGTTTTCTGCAATGAAACAGGATAGATTTATTTCTGTTGTAATTAAAAAGAGGTTTGGCAGTATTTAAGCTGAATTCACTAGACAATAAGGTAATTTAATTTGATACCTGAAGCAAGACCATGATCCTAAAGATTAACAACAATTGAATTACATTATTTTAAAAAGATTCAGCAAATTTTGAAAAAAAAAAACTTGAATGATTTTTAGAGATAGCGTTGGGAGCAATATGTACAGTGTCAGGATCTGCAGATGAATGTGTACCTTACTCAACATGTCAGAGTGTAGGATCAGACCTCAGATGTCAATGTTCTATTGGATACTATGATAATGATGTAAACACTGCTGCTGGAACTTGTGTACCAGGTTTGTACTCAAAGATTGGTAACAATGACAGTACTTATCTTATAAACAGATTATAATTCTACTAAACTAAATATTTACTGTTGCAAATTGTCACTATGAACTTGATTTTATGATATATATATAAAAAGAGTTTTTTAATTTGTCAATAATTGTCAAAATAAATTTTCTTTTTTTATGTACTAATACAATGTCAAGCTATTACCAGTAAGTAAGTGTTGCTCTTCACCTGTTGCAGTTTATTTAAAATTCTGACCAAACTGTTCAACTGGTCAGAAAATTTAACAAACTGCTGTAGAAAAACACAGTCAAAGCCTACTGAATAAGCACAGTAAAACTTCAAGAGAATATATTCAAGCTTCAAATTTATTTCACCAAGTATTTTTACAAGAGATTAATTTAAAGAAAGCTTTGTATAGCATGCATAGAAAAACACCATCTCATTAGAAATAATTCAAAAACTAGAAAAAAATTGGGACATTTTTAGCAATTCAAAAATTACTACCCATCACCTCTTGCATGACAATTACAATAAAATTGGTATAGATATTGTTAGACTGATTCTTCATAATATCATTGAAGTGGAATAGAAGTCTCATAGGATTGTAAGTACAGTCAAACCTGTATTAAGAGACCACTCAAGAGAGAAGGCAAAAGTGGTCTCTTAATACAGGTGGTCTTTGAATACAGGTTCCAAAATTTGAATAGAAGGAAGCATTAATGTGCATTATAACTTTTGAATGTACTATTGTAAGTAAAGAATACTGTATTGGTCTCGTATGTATATCCACTATGATTAATTATGAGAACTGTTCATTATGTAATTAAATTTTTCCATGCCTTTTTATATTACCGCAAAAAAATTGCGTTCGTATATTGCTATCACGTTGTCGTTATTGTCGTCGTTGTAGTCTGAAGACATTTGGTTTCGGACAATAACTTTAGTATAAGTGAACGGAATTCTATGAAATTTAAACACAAGGTTTAATACCACAAAAGGAAGGTTGGGAATGATTTTGGAGGTTATGGTCCCAACTGTTTAGGAATAAGGGGCCAAAAAAAGCATTTTTCTAGTTTCCGGACAATTACTTGTGTAACAGTGTATAGATCTCTCTGAAATTGTACCACAAGTTTCCATACCCCAAAGAGAAGGTTAGGATTGACTTTTAGGTTATGGCCCAAACGGTTCAGGAATTAGGGGCAAAAAAGGGGGAAAAACAAGGTTTTTGTGGTTAATGGACAATGACTTAAGTATTGGTCTATGGATCTCTATGAAATTGAACCACAAGGTTCCTTACCACAAAGGGGCAAAAAAAGGAGGGGGGGAGGTTTTTCTGGTTTTTAGACAAATACTTATATAAGTATTAGTCAATGGATCTCTTTGAAATTGTACCAAGAGGTTCATTACTACACACGGAAGGTTGGGGTCAATTTTGGGGGTCATGGCTTTAATTGTTAAGAATTTAGGGCCAAAAATCAAAGTATAGTGCTATTACAAATAGCAGTTACCCCACCACCCCCTTCTTTTTAACAGGTTGATACATGCTAAGGAAAATACAGATGAAATATTTCTATCTTATTTCACCTCTTCATTCATTTTCAATTCACTTCTACTTATTAAACTATATATATATATATGTCATTAGATTTTTGATTGCTGAATCTAAACTTGTATTTAGATTTTGGATATTAAACCGTAAAAGGTTAATGTCCATTTTCAAATTTTTAAATTCTCAGACCACATTTATTCTGTATCAAAAACCTATGCTGTGTCAAATATTTAATCACAATTCAAATTCAAAACTGTATCAAGCTTGAATGTTGTGTCCATACTTGCACCAACTATTCAGGGTTCGACCACTGAGGTCGTATCAAGCTGCTCCAGGTGGTGGAGCACATTTTAAAGCAATTTTTCAAGCTATAGCATATAGCCATCTTTGTGACCCAGATCGATCAAGCCAAAGTTTTTGAGCAGATAAAACTGATTCCTCATCTATCATTCTAAAAATCCTCTGTATGTTTTCAAATGGAATAGATATAAGAAGATCTGGTATGAGTGCCAATGAGACAACTCTCCATCCAAGTCACAATAGATATAAGAAGATGTGGTATGAGTGCCAATGAGACAACTCTCCATCCAAGTCACAATTTATAAAAGTAAACCATTATAGGTCAAAGTACAGTCTTCATCATGGAGCCTTGGCTCACACCGCACAGCAAGCTATAAAGGGCCCCAAAAATTACTAGTGTAAAACCATTCAAATAGGAAAACCAACGGTCTAATCTATATAAAAAACGAGAAACGAGAAACACTTATGAACCACATCAACAAACGACAACTACTGAACATCAGATTCCTGAATTAGGACAGGTGCAAACAATTGCAGGGGGTTTAAACGTTTCAATGGTACCAAACCTTCACCCTTATCTGAAACAATAGTGTAACATCACAACATAGAAAGACACACTATAAAATATCAATTGAAATGGCTTAACTCAAGCAAAAGACATATTAACACAAGTGAACATACACTGAACGAATGAATTTGATCTATGATACAATGTAAATACAAAATCAATAAAATAAGGGATGAATAATTAAAGTAACAGTATTATACCGCTGTGAAATGTTAAACAATTTCAGATAAACAACAATAACCTTAATCAAAAATCCGCCATTTACAATAATATTATACATAGGTAAATGAAAATATTTTTGTTGTTAGGTATACAGTTTAAAAGGAGAAAGGAATTATTTTTACAAAATAAATAATTTTGATGTTCATATATAAGTTCGAAGAAGTGAAAATTTATAGTAATACCAAACACTTATCAAAGCTGGTATATAGACCAGATATAACCCTGAATAAGTAAAACATTAAATAACAAAAAAGCATTACAAATAGTATCAACAGGTCAAATTAACAAGAAAGTACAATTTGAGAGTACTTGCAGTTACTGACAGCTAGTTAAAAGCCAAAAACAATTAATAATAAAAAAATCATGCATCAGAGACTAAAATCAACTAAAACACATCCCAGGGATTTAGTATTTTAAGGTCATGGACAGTCAAAGAAGACATGACTTGTGCAATGCCAAAAATAAATGTATCAACAGGCAGTAGGACATTTATTGGAACAGTTGAAAAACAACAGTGGGTTTGTGAAGTTTCAACATATGTTCTTTTAGATGTATTTTTGTATTTAAGAGGACAATCGTTTGACTTATCAAAGAACGTAGAAGGCAGAGTAAGAAAGTGCATTTATTTAAACCTGCGATTTCCTTCTTGAGACGTTTCATCAAAATATTGAAACAAGTCAGTTGTTGATTTAATATTGAAAATTTGACTGAATTATACCTTATACGGTTAAATGTTATAATAATTCGTGTTTCTTTTTTGAAAGAGGTCAAGTTGCTCTTGTTCATTCATAAAATCTTCATTCATTCATAAAATTATCGTAAAATCACTACGCCATTATAGTTATGTAAAAATCAAGATCTCGAGACAGTGTCAAATGTCATAATGACCCTACACAATGCATGACCATCGTCTTTTCATTTGATGGTTTAAAAATAGATCTCTCTAGCATTGACCGTGTACCAGTTTGATCGTATTCATACGGCGGTCCGCCCGCCCTTTCCCGACTGACACCCTGTACTCTTTTAATTCGCCCTGCCTGATTTTGTGAATTTGTAGACCAAACAAAATATTGTCTGATTTTGAACTTTTCCCCAGGTAGACAATCATGATCAGCCAATCAAAATCTTTGTTTCTCATGATTATTGGGCTGCATTGCAAACATGCTAAATTTTGAACTTGTTTGGAACATTTGAATTTTACAAATCGTGATCATGGCATATGAATTTTCATCTGGAAGAAGGTTCTCACACAGCCTCAGAAGAAAAGCACTGCTGATTTACAAAAATACTTTTGTCTTATTTCTATTACAAAGCCCAACCGAGAAAGACGTTTTGAAAGAAGAATTAGAAAAAAGTAAAGAAACAAACAGGAGTTTGAATGACTTCTTTTGTACTACATGAGTGTTTTAAATATTTGATTTACAATCCTATGCAGAAAATCATCAAGTGTATTGACAATGACTTCATGAAACTTTTAACTGTAAATTAATTTCTTTATTTTAAAATCAGTAAATGTTGCATTAATTTATTAGATTATGAGATTATGTCATTAGTAATGAAAGGGGTTAAGCGTTAGCCAGTTCTTAGATAAATTTCAGAAGCCGGTCCCATCTTCAAATCTTTAATCAGTATGTATGAATGCATGATTTTTATTGTAAAAAACTATAGTTCGGTAGAAAACTCGTGTCAGGAAAGTTGAAATCATCAACTCAATGGTTAAATTTAAATCAATTATGATATACTTAAAATTAAAATAGAAGCCATAGAGATAATGAAGCCAGGTGCATGGATTGTCATGTTAATAATTATTCAGTAATAAACACTCTACAAGGGGATAATCTGTTATGTTTTTTTTTGAAGAGTTATACATTTCCACAAATATATTTGCCTCCCCAGAAGCCGGGTAAACAGGTCGTCACCGTGGGAAATGTTAACATTGTAAAAATGACTTTCTGCTAGATAAGTCTTATATTGATTTAAAGTTAAAACATCATTACTTCTCACTAGATAAGACTCCTCTCAGGTTTAAATCTTTTACATGTGGATGAAAAATAAAAGTCACAAACACATTACCTAGGCAGCAATTGCTTTAACAGCTGCCTTTAAGGCTTTGATTGTATTTTGTTTTAATTTGTTCATACATCACAAGACAAGGTTCTTGTTACATTAAGTCCAAACTAATTCCTGTGAAAATACCCCAGGGTGCAGAGCCCTCACATGTTCTTCAAGATTTTATATAAATTGTCTCATTATGCAATGACTTTCAAATACTTTTTATTCAATTAAAAATATCATTTGGTCGCTTGTTCATTTTAACTTATAACTGTCAAGAAAAGTTTATTTCTCTAGCCATGCTAGTTATATAGTGTAATCATAAACTTCATCATCGTCATTTTTGACTTTTTTTGTCACAATCATATAACTGCCAATAGCTCTGTTTGAATAACCAGTTTCACTGCAAACACGAGTTGAACTTAAAAATAATTAGCAGTAAGTGATCTATGGCTTGGTAATAGACCTCCTGATTGTTGAACTTTGTGGTAACTAATCTTCTAAAATCGGTTGATTCTGACTTAGAATGTCAATCCTCGGATGAATCTGCTTATCTCGCAACGGAATCAGCCGAGTTTAAACGAGAGGAAAGTCAACATCAATCTTCAAAATGACGGTATGATTACACTTTTTCGCAAGTCGTTGATCCTTCCAAGTAAATTGTGGTCGTTTAATACAGTGCATGTGGTCGTTTTAAACAAATTAATGCGGTCACTGGATGTGTTAAGCAGGTGGTCTCTTAGTACAGTTAAAATATATAGGGAAATCTATTGGGGGGAGGGGGGCTTGAAAAGTGGTCCTTAACAGCATGTGGTTGTTCAATACAGGTAGTTGTTAAGGCAGGTTTGACTGTATGCTTTATTTTATCACCTTGCACTTTCATCACTTTGTTGTGTTTTCTACTGCAGATTGTAAAAAATTCTGACCAGTTGAACAGTTTGGTTTGATAAAACAAATTGCAATTTGGTCAGAATTTTAAATAAACTACAATAGGTAAAGAGCAACACTCACAGTCAAGCCACAGTAATAAATAAAACCTATGAAGATTGCAGTAAACAGGTCAGTACTGAACAAAAATTTACAAAAAGAAATCTTTTACTTTCTTTGTTGCAGATGAGTTTGAAAATTATTTTTTCTCTTTTCTAATTGCAGAACTACAGTCAGGAGTAACATGTACCAGGGATAATGATGCAACAGAATGTGTACCTAATGCTGTATGTAAGAGTGGAGCTTGTACCTGTAATACTGGTTACTATGATGATAATTTTAGTGCCTCTGGTGGACAATGTGCTGCAGGTTTGTATATTTTTAGTTCATCGGGCCAAAAGGGCTAAATGCGCTTTTCTCACCACTTGGCGTCTGCCATCCATTCTCATCAGTCGTCTTTCTTCGTCCATCATCTTCATCTGCCGTTAGCTTTAACAAAAATCTTTTCTGAAACTACTGGACCAATTTAACCAAACTTGGCCATAATCAACATTGGGGTAACTAGTTTTAAAATGTGTCCGATGACCCCACCTGCCAACCAAGATGCCTAACATGGCTAAAAAGAGAACAAAAGGGTAAAATGCATGTTTTGTCTATTATTTTGAAAACCATTATAAATAGAGAAAATCTGACAGGTAAAAAATGTTCAGCATGTTGGCTTTACCAATTGTTTATACACGCTCAAACTGTCCCGCCACTTTTTATGGGAGTTATTGCCCTTAAATGACAAATTTTACCAGTTTTTCATTTTTGCCTTTTATGTTGAAAACTATAATAGATAGAAAGAAATTTTAAGTTGCAAAAATTAGCAGTAAGACAAGATCTAGGAATAAGTTTGCATAGTCAAAATCATCAATCAACTCCTTATTAGAGTTATTGCCCTTTGATGACCATTTTTACCAATTTTTAGTGTTTTTGCCTAATATCTTAAAAACTATAATAGATAGATAGAAACTTAAATAATCAAAAATGATCAGCAAGACAAGATTTACTTTTAAGACAAATGGAGGAAATTTTCTGACAATTCCTTAAAAAAACAAAACCAGAAACAGAATCTTTTCAATAATTCTTTCAACTGAAATCATTCAAATAGACAGGTTACAAAGCTACTGTAAACACATTGATATATTACATTCAGATGGAAGATTGAAGAAAAAAAACACAAAAAGACAATTTTACATCAGATGGTTACATTTAGGACAAAAATGTTGTTAAAAAAGCTCCTGACCAAAATTTCCCAATCTCCTGATCTGAGTTTCACAGTCTATTACATGTATGTGTACATATAACTTAAATGTCTTACAACATCTGCTTACAACATGTGCAAGATATGGAGTAATTTAAACTTTAAATGTACAAATTTGGAAATGATATTAGAATATGCTTTATATTTTAGAGATAGCTTTGAGTGTAATATGTACTAAGGAAAATATTACAACTGAGTGTGTGCCTTATGCTGTATGCCAGAGAGATGGATCAGAACTAAAATGTACCTGTTCAAACGGTTTTTATGACAGTAACTTTGCTGATTCTGGTGGAACCTGTATACCAGGTATGTAGTTTTCTTTGTTGTAGTAGTCGTAAAAAAATAGATATGAGGTATCTGTCAATGGGAATGCAAGGCCATAGCATTATCTTTATTTGTATGACTTTTTCAGTTGTGTTACATATCTACTTCCAGATAACTGGATACATGTATGTTAATAATAGATTAATTAAACTCTGATATGTATTAAATTTGCTGGTTGGTTATTTTTTATAGGCTATAGTATATATAGAATAGTGGCATTTTTTGTTTTTGATACTGACTTATCAGCAAGAATATCTAGCGAGCTTGCATGGGTAAGCTGATATTTGAGCTGATGAAGTCATAATCGAAAAAATGAAATATCATTATTCTTTTTATCTGCAATTTTATCTTAAAGATATGTTTTTAGGTTGAGAATATGAAATAATTGAAAAAGTTAGTACTATTTTTATGCATACAAAATGTTGTGATAGTTATTCTGTTGTATGTATGAAGCAGTGTTCTCGCCAGCCCAATATAGAAGGACCCCCGCCCTTTCGCCCTCCAAAACAAAAAAAATGCACCCCTCTGCCTTTTCAAAACATAAAATTTTCAAATTACATTCCTATTGGCATTTCCGGTAAAAGTGTTACCTGATTGTGTAACACTCTAATTAACTGACAATGGGATAAACTTAAATACTTTGCCTTGGCAGTTTTATCACCTCTGTTAATGATTGTTTACTGTAATTAGGTGATTAAAGATAATTGAACACATACTGGATATTCAATACAGAATGAAAATGTCACATCCCTTCGTAAGTTTTACGGACGCCATCACGAGTTGGTTGACAGTTATGGAATATCTGTTTCACAGATAATAGCGGATATGTTCCTAATGTCGTAACTACAATCCTGTCCCCTTTTCCCGAATGAGACTTATTACCGGGTTTGTACTAACATGAGCAACACAATGGGTGCCACATGTGGAGCAGGATCTGCTTACCCTTCTGGAGCACTTGAGATTACCCCCGGTTTTTGGTGGGGTTCATGTTGCTCAGTCTTTAGTTTTCTATCTTGTGTTTTGTGTACTAATGTTTGTTTGTTGGTCTTTTTCTTTAGCCGTGGCGTTGTCAGTTTATTTTCGACTTATGAGTTTGAATGTCCCTCTGGTGTCTTTCGCCTCTCTTTTATCCATTTGTAATGTTTATGTACAGCCTGTACACCTGAAAAACTATTTAAGTAGGCATTAAATAAAAATAAAATGTTAAACAATTTTAACTGTCAAATACATGTTCAACGATTTGACTCAAATTCTCATATTTGACTTATAACATACTAAAACGTATATCCAAATTATAAAAAGTCTAAAATAAACAATTTTCAATGTATGGGATTGATAATATTTATCAGCATTTGGTGTGTATTTTAGTTAAGACCCTATCTAATTAACTATCTAGATGACCTCCGAAGACTGCTGAAGGTCATATAACCCAATATAAACATAAATATGGATATAAATAGCCGTGCAATTGGATTTTTTTAGGTCTGTTTGATTTATATTATAGGTTAAAAATATATGTTAATCATCGTTTTACCTGTATATAAGAATGAGTTTTTGTGGATCAAATCAGTCAATCAAATGATTTACCCTTGTTTCACTATCAATGTTGACATTCTTTTCCTTGTAATAATTGCACACGCCTAATTCATGTGTAACCCTTCTCTAGCTAAGGGGTTAAATTGAAGTTGACATGAATACGGATTCAATGAGGTCCAATTATTAACCTGCAAGTGAATAATTTATCATCGATATTTCCAGGGAACAGTATATTAACGGGAAATGAATCTGATAGGCTTTTCAGTATAAAATTGATAAAATCCTGAACTTTACGCGACTTTGCGAGATTTATGGATTTTGGAAGTGTCTGACTGAAAAACTATCAGAACTGCTCAATAAGTGAACCACATAATTCAAAACGTTCAACAAAAACAATGAATTGATGAGTTTTATCTTGAAGTAGATATATATTGTCATATAAAATGACCAATATAAGTGTGATTTATTTGATGTGAAATGTTTTATAATGGTTTGTGAAATTCGCGGTTACTGGGATTGCCATAGGCACCATTTTTGTTGAGCCTGCAACTTTTGTCGCAGAAAGCTCGACATAGGGATAGTGATCCGGCGGCGACGGAGGCAGCGGCGTTAGCTAACTTCTTAAAAGCTTTATATTTTAGAAGGTGGAAGATCTGGATGCTTCATACTTTGTATATGGATGCCTCATGTTACAAAGTTTCCGTCAGTCACATGTCCAATGTCCTTGACCTCATTTTCATGGTTCAGTGACTACTTGAAAAAAAAGTTAAGATTTTTTGTAATGTTAAATTCTCTCTTATTATAAGTAATAGGATAACTATATTTGGTATGTGCATACCTTGCAAGGTCCTCATGCCTGTCAGACAGTTTTCACTTGACCTCGACCTCATTTCATGGATCAGTGAACAAGGTTAAGTTTTGGTGGTCAAGTCCATATCTCAGATACTATAAGCAATAGGTCTAGTATATTGGGTGTATGGAATGATTGTAAGGTGTTCATGTCTAGCTGGCAGGTGTCATCTGACCTTGACCTCATTTTCATGGTTCAGTGGTCAAAGTTAAGTTTTTGAGTTTTGGTCTTTTTTTTCTAATACTATATGCAATAGTTCAACTATATTTGGTGTATGGAAATATTTAATGATTTATATGTCAGTCACGCAGGTTTTATTTGACCTTGACCTCATTTTCAATGTTCATTGCTCAATGTTAAGTTTTTATACGACCGCAAAAAATTTTTGCGTTCGTATATTGGTATGACGTTGGCGTTTTCGTCGTCGTCCGAAGACACATTGGTTTTCGCACTCTAACTTTAGTTTAAGTGAATGGATCTCTTTGAAATTTTACCATAAGGTTCAATACCACAAAAGGAAGGTGGGGATTGATTTTGGGGGTTATGGTACCAACAGTTAAGGAATTAGGGGCCAAAAAGGGGCCAAAAATAAGCATTTTCTAGTTTCCAGACAATAACTGTGGAAAGGTGTATGGATCTCTCTGAAATTATACTACAAGTTTCCATACCACAAAGGGATGGTTAGGATTTGCTTTGGGGGGGGGGGGGGGGGGGGGGGGTTATGGCTCAAACCGTTTAGGAATTAGGGGCAAAAAAGGGGGAAAAACAAGGTTGTCCTAATTAATGGACAAATACTTTAGTACAAAACATAATTTAAAGCAGTGTAAGGGAGATAAATCAAATACATCATTGAAATTATCTCCCTTACACTGCTTTTAAATTATGTATAAAGTAATGGTTAATGAACAATTAAGATAATTTAAAACAGAGTAAGGGATATAATCCAAATACAACGTTTTGGTTACTTCCCTTACACTGCTTTTAAATTATGTTTAAAGAAATGCATATTTATAAAGGAAGACCAGTCAAAATATCTGCAAATGTTGCATCTTTTTTTTTTACAAAAAAATCCATATGAAAGTTTTGACACTATATTTTAAATTCTATTATAAAATAGATTAAGTTATCACTATGGTAAATTTAAATGGGTAATTATGGTTGCAAACTCTATTGGAAATTTGAATTGAGATTATGACCATATCTTGAGGGAACGAATTTTTTGGGGGAAAAAAAGGGGGGGGGGGTAAAAAGAAATTGTGGGGGGTCAATTTTTTCTCATTTCAGATTTCGGAAATTAAAAAGAATTATTCTTCAAATATTATTTTTTTTTTCAAATTTCAAATATTGAAAAATTTCAAAAAGTAATCTTTAATTGCACAGTATGGCGCATTAGATTTGTAAAATCTTTGACCACATTTATTTATTTGTTATGCCGAATCTAACCGTGTATTTAGATTTTTAATTTTGGGTCCAGTTTTCAAATTGGTCTACATTAAGGTCCAAAGGGGTCCAAAATTAAACTTTGTTTGATTTTAACAAAAATTGAATACATGGGTTTCTTTGATATGCTGAATCTAAACATGTATTTAGATTTTTGATTTTTGGCCCAGTTTTCAAGCTGGTCCAAATTGGGGTCCAAAATTAAACTTTGTTTGATTTCAACAAAAATTGAATATATGGGGTTCTTTGATATGCTGAATCTAACCATGTATTTAGATTTTTTATTTGTGGACCCCGCTATCAAATTGGTTCATATTGAGGTCAAAAGGGTCCAAAATTAAACTTTGTTTGATTTCATCAAAAATTGAATTATGGGGTTCTTTGATATGCCAAATCTAACCGTGTATTTAGATTTTTAATTTTGGGTCCTGTTTTTTTAAATTGGTCTACATTAAGGTCCAAAGGGTCCAAAATTAAACTTAGTTTGATTTTAACAAAAATTGAATTCTTGGGGTTCTTTGATATGCTGAATCTAAACATGTGTTTAGATTTTTGATTATGGGCCCAGTTTTAAAGTTGGTCCAAGTTGGGGTCCAAAATTAAACTTTTAAAAATTGAATATATGGGGTTCTTTGATATGCTGAATCTAACCATGTATTTAGATTTTAGATTTTTGGCCCAGTTTTCAAGTTGGTCCAAATTGGGGTCCAAAATTAAACTATGTTTGATTTCAACAAAAATTGAATATATGGGGTTCTTTGATATGCAGAATCTAACCATGTAGTTAGATTTTTTATTTGTAGGCCTGCTATCAAATTGGTTCATATAGAGGTCAAAAGGGTCCAAAATTAAACATTGTTTGATTTCATCAAAAATTGAATTATTGGGGTTCTTTGATATGCCAAATCTAACCGTGTTTTTAGATTTTTAATTTTGGGTCCCGTTTTTTAATTTGGTCTACATTAAGGTCCAAAGGGTCCAAAATTAAACTTAGTTTGATTTTAACAAAAATTGAATTCTTGGGGTTCTTTGATATGCTGAATCTAAACATGTGTTTAGATTTTTGATTATGGGCCCAGTTTTCAAGTTGTTCCAAGTCGGGGTCCAAAATTAAACTTTTTTGATTTCAACAAAAATTGAAAATATGGGGTTCTTTGATATGCTGAATCTAACCATGTATTTAGATTTTTTATTTGTGGGCCCTGCTATCAAATTGGTTCATATTGAGGTCAAAAGGGTCCAAAATTAAACATTGTTTGATTTCATCATAAATTGAATTATTGGGGTTCTTTGATATTCCAAATCTAACCGTGTATTTAGATTTTTAATTTTGGGTCTCGTTTTTTAAATTGGTCTACATTAAGGTCCAAAGGGTCCAAAATTAAACTTAGTTTGATTTCAACAAAAATTGAATATATGGGGTTCTTTGATATGCTGAATCTAACCATGTATTTTGATTTTGGACATTGGACCATAATAGGTAAATTATTAAAAATCAAGTTCTTAGACCACATTCTTTCTGTGTCAGAAACCTATGCTATGTCAAATATTTAATCACATTCCAAATTCAGAGCTGTATCAAGCTTGAATGTTGTGTCCATACTTGCCCCAACTGTTCAGGGTTTGACCTATGCGGTCGTATTAAGCTGCGCCCAGCGAAGCATTTAATTGTGTTTTGGTCTGTTTTTCTTAAATTATAAGCAATAGGTCAACTTTATTTGTTGTATGGAAGAATTGTTAGCTGTACATGCCTGCCTAGCGTGGTTCATCTGACCTTGACCTCATTTTCATGGTTCATTGGTCAATGTTTAGTTTACTTGGTTAATGTTAAGTTCATGTGACAGTTGTAATAAAGCTTTATATTTAGGACTGTCAACATAATATCAATAATTAGTAAAGAAGGCGAGACATTTCAGCGTGTGCACTCTTGTTGGAAAATGACGCAGTCAATTTTTCTATACCGTTGACCAGCTTTCAAGCCGCTTTCCAAAGTCAGTTCCGTATTTTACATACTCATGTACTATACAGAATTTCATTCTTAACCTGTCCATATATGATCATTGTTATTAAATGGTATTTTGAGCTATCCCTTTGGTATATTTTTCATATTTATATGAGCTTTCGCTTTTATGTGCATGACTTTACAATCCGTAAAAAAATCAGAATATAAATAGATCCGTTTTGGTATGGTTTTTGAACTTTTTACATGCAAATGATAACCAGCCGCTAGACAAAATAGTTCTTGAAAGAATGTCAACCTAACTTGTCAGCTGAAATTTAAAATCATTAAAAAAATAATAATCGGAATCATCTTGATATATCCATACAAAAGATAATGCTCTTTATTAAGATTTAAGAAGTTTTTAAGAATCAAAAGTAGGTAATACAGTTATATCCACGCGGTGCGTATGTATTTTTTTTACAAAGTTATAGCTGCAGACATAGGTCAAATATCTCAGGGGCCAGTTCAATTACAGAAAAAAATGCTGGCTTTTGCAGAAGTTTTTCTGTCAAAAAGACTTTATTACTTTCTGGATTTTTTCACTTTAAAAAGAATTAAAAGGTGCAGAAACTTTATGAAAGGAGTAGACACTGCTCAATAAATCATACTAAAAGTATTTAGGACAGTTTTACCTCTAACAACGTGGTCTCGTCCATTTTTTGAAACATCTACGATTATTTCATTACTTTTTCGAGTTTACATCTAAACTGTTGAACCTGTATTGTTTTGAAAAAAACATTCCCGTTGTCCAGGAATTCATTACAAGCCCGTATTTTACAATTACTTGTCCTCGCATCGTTATTTTCAAAATCAATTAGAGGATAACTAAATGAAAAATTCATGTAAATAAATATAAAATATCAAGATTTACCATCCACTTTTCAAAATCTATTAATTGAATATTATTTTAAAATCAATGTTAACAGTGGATGGGTTGGATTAGGAATGGCATTTAATGATTCATAGAGAAACAGATATTAGTCCATTCTCAATTTTATTAGTGTAAACAGGAAGTTGCATAAGGGAGACAATTTTGGTGGACAAAAGTGCTAAAACCAGTATTGTCAAATCTTGTAAAATATTTCTGGTGGCAATAATTCAAATATTCATAAAATTACAAAACACAACTTTCAGGTTGTAAGGTTTCAAACATTTCTTTATTGATAATCCACCTTTGATAATAAAAAAAAGACTTCTTAAAAAAAAAGATTTCTATTATCATCTTCATCTTGGAATATGATCAAATATGTTAGCCTTTTTTAAACATATCTTTAATAACATTTCAGTATACTTATGGAAAGAGTTATTCCATTTCTTACTTTGATATAAAAGGATATACCAATTTTAATTGCAAAAATGTAATTTGATAGATGTGAATAAAAGCTATTGAAAAAATTCCAATTTTGTCATTGAAAACCTTCTTTAAATATGTGTCAGTAAATTATGAAGCTATAAAGGATATATAAATAATATAACTAGTTTATAAGTCAAACAACTAAAAGTGAGAAAAAAAGATATACCTACTGTGCTACATTTGGGGATGGGTGGTAATGAAATCAAATTATTTAAGTTATCTAGACATTTTAATTTTTAAAGTTTAATAATAAAAATGTCACTTATTTGAATTTCTGTTAATACACATGGCACATGTATAAAACATGCAGGTCTTTGTCTATTTAATATAATATAACCAACATGGTAGTTAAATAAATGTAACATCAAGTCGCAAACACGAAACTTAAGGTGATCGATCTATCTAATATTGCAAGCTTACCACAGAGCTATAAAAAAATCCTGGGGAGAACACTGGATTGTATTGCTTTCAGAGTTATATAATACACTTTGCCTAAGAAATAGGTATAGCTAGGTCCTTATAAAGAATGAGGCTAAAATGATGTAAAATTACCATATTTACATCATTACAGCTGCATTTTTTGCATTTAATATATATCATATATGTATACATATATATAGAGAACAACAGATTAAATGCACATGGGTTTAATTACCACCCTAGGCATTGATTTTAATAGGTGGCAGCAAATAGGGCAGATTGGCCTATATATGTGGTGTCCCCACATCTACTCTGTTGTTCCTAAGTCTCAAAATTCTGCTCGCCCTGGCTAAGTCCTCAACATCTTTCTTTTCTAAGTATAGATCAGCAGCTCCTCTAAGGATTAGTTATGGAACACTTTATATAAAGTCCTGTCTTTTTTGTCTCTCTTATTTTCTTATTTATATTATTATTATTATATTTCTTAAATTTTTTGTAAGCCACCATTAGCCACAACTCCTCTTTTTCCTGCGGTGCCTGAAAACAATGAATCGGTTTTGTTCATTGTTGAGATCTTTAAAGTGACGTATAACTGCCAACAGCCACATTATTTGGACTCTGGTGGATAGTTATCAGACTGTTATATGTCATTTACAATCATACCACATCTCCTTATTTTAGTACGGGTTAATTATTTGAAATAAATGACTAACAAACATTAAATCATTTGAAAAAAAATAATTCTGCAATAATTTATGTTGTCATTTTAAGATTTCAGTTTATATATATATCAACAATAAGTTGTATAGATGGTGTCACTATGTTTGTAATTGTCAAACTAGTATAACAATACTATTGTCTAAATCTACAGAAATTGATCATGCTTTAAGTAACAGAAATAACAATGTCACTAGGTCACCTGTAACTTATCTCTTAAATAAGGACTATATGGGGTATAAGAGCTTGCTTACTACAGGCTCTTCATAATCATTTTGTTAAATAATTCTACAAAGAAGGGGATAGTCTGTTAATGTATCCTTGACTTAAGAATAATGAAATTGCAAGAAACAAATTCACGTATTACTTTGAATATTGTAGATTGAAAACGTAGTCAAGCTATTTCTTTGTACAACAGAACAACCAATAGTCATCTTCACTTCACATATATATATATATATATATACAAGTCTAAATTGAAAACAACGTTCAAACCTATGATTGTGTTGGATAAAAACTGCAATTTTTATATATATATATATCTTGACAAACAAATAAAAAAGCCATAGATATTGAAACTATTTATATCTTTTCTATTGTCAGTCAGCCTACCTACCATGAACTGAAAAGTCTCCTAAGATTCAGTCGGTAAATTATGTGAAAATCAAGACTTGCATCAAAAATATCCCAATATTAGAGACATTGGCGCATTTTTCCTCAGAGCTTTCAGCTCTTTGATTTATTACCCCGTTTGCATTCTGTACCCTTTTGTGATGAAATGAATGCCACTATTACAAATATGATGTGATAGATTAAAAGTTTGATACACTGGCATCACTTATCCCCTTTTCCCGAATGAGACCTACCAAATTAGACTTAAATTACCAGGTTTGTAATAACATACTGACAAGTTTTTGATTTAGTTTTTTTAAGATTAGTTTGTTACTTAAATTGATTTGCTGTATTGTAAAATATATATATATGATTCAGAATTACTGTCTAGTGTAACATGTACCAGGGATAATGATGCAATAGAATGTGTACCTAATGCTGTTTGTAAGAATGGAGGGTCAGGACTAAAATGTACCTGTAATAATGGTTACTATGATAATAATTTTCCTAACACTGGTGGACAATGTGTGGCAGGTATGTATTTCATTTAATTGCTCACATTTATAGTTTTCTATAGTCGTTGACTCTCCTCTGGTGGAAGAACAAAGGATTTAGTGATCAAGACTTATAATAACCCCACGCAACAAAGTTGCATAGGGTATAATGTTTTGTCCCTTCCTTCTGTGCATCCGCCAGTCCTGTTCTTGTCATCGCAACTCCTCTGAAACCACACAAAATAATTTAATGAAACTTTGTAGAAAATAAGAACATACTAGGTAGATGTGCATATCAACAGAAAATTATGTTTCAATGATTCAATTTTTTTCTAGGAGTTATATGCCCTTTTAACATAACATTTTAAATATACTGTTGCAACAGTTTGTCATTGCAAATCTTTTGAAACCATGTACACAACAGAATTTTATGAAACTTTGTAGTTAATTTTTCTTTACAATTTCCCTTTGAATATTTTATCACTTCTTGTAGTTTTTTAAATGATATAAGTATGTTCATTTAAGTTGCATATTGAGTTGTAGACTGATCATGTATGATTTTCTTTTTGGTTCCTTTCTGTTCATAGCCATAATAAAAAGTGTTATGAATTTTGTTCGTAAGCGTGAGATTCAGATGGTACAGACTTATTAGATACCTAATGTAGTACATCAGGATGGGATCTGTGACTATTATTCTGCATTGTATAAGAATATTTTCTTTATAGAATTACAGTCAGGAGCTACATGTACTGAGACCAGTCAGTCAACAGAATGTGTACCTAATGCTGTATGTTATAATGGAGGATCAGGAGCCAAGTGTACCTGTAATACTGGTTACTATGATGATAATTTTGGTGCAACTGGTGGACAATGTGTGGCAGGTTTGTTATCAAATTAATGAACAATACAGAAATGATATATAAATCATTAAATACTGATTTCTGTTAATGTTGTTTGTCTAAATATTCTTCTAGTGGCTATGAACAACTCATTTATTTGATATTTTTGCACTTTTTCTTTTTATTCATTTTATTATTATGAACAGAATTTGTCACATGGAGTTTTGCAAAAAGGTTTTGTGTGTCTTCACCACCACACTTAGACATTCTGAAGTGCCTGTCACGATAGACATATTATAAAATAACCTTTTGTATGCCATGCCTACTATAGTATTTACGCATTATAGTTAATTTAAAGTCAGTCCATCTATCCATCTGTCCTATCAAAACACATCACTTAGAAACGGGTTGACAGAAAACTTGTACTATACCTTTTTTTTTTGACCATTTATCAGCAGTAATGGGACCTTGAAAATTTTTTAGGACATCTATATGTGAATAATTAATGCAATGCCTATGAAACCCTTTTACAAAAAGCTTTCATACTTGCCTAGGATTGTTTGCCATCATTTAAAGATGACCATATTGTACTGCCATTCTGATTGGACCATTTTCAGATGAGTTATGGGACTTTGTACATTTTTTTTTTGTATTGAAAAATGAAAGCTTTTGAACGCAACTCCTCTGACCCATTTGACAGAAAACTTTCATAGTTGGCAGGATTCTTTGCCACCTTATATATGTAATTGTACCATCATTCTGATTTTAGTATTTTTGTGTTTGACAAGTTATGGACTATTGTTCCACAATGACAACTTGTCAAAGCACTTGCAGAATTTAATTTACTTTAAAGTTCTTGTCCTGATATTACTAATAAGAAAGTAGTCTTTTTGAAAATTGACTATCCTGCCATACAAAATTAAATTTAATGATTCCTAGAATAAAATAGAAAGTTGCAGAAAAAATATATAAGAAGACACTAGTTCTATAAAAAACACAAGTCTTAGGACTGACTATATAGCTATAACATAAATATCTAAAAGTAGGAAATAAAACAGCATCTATGTTCTGTGACAGTAAGGTTTGAAGGTAAAGAGTATAATGAACCAGCCAACCAACCAATATAATGTATATTATGATAGGTTACACAAATGTAACACTTGAATCTATGATAATATTTTTTTGTATATAAAAGAGTTGGGAATCATATATATACAATGAGTAACCAGGCTATTAATAGCATAAATACATAATGATGTATGTAAGGTATTAAAGTGGCATCAGCTGTCTAATTCATCTTAACTGATTTGACTCAAATTCTCATATTTGATTTATAACATACTAAAACGTATATCCAAATTACAAAAAGTCTAAAATAAACAATTAACAATGCATGGACTCGATAATATGTATCAACATGTTGTATGTATTTTTGTCTAGACGTCATCTAATTAACCAACGAGATTACCTCCAAAGACTGCGGATGGCAGATATAAAAAAAAAATATAAATATAAACAGATAGCGTCCACGTGCTATTCGATTTTTGTCGAGCCTGCGACTTTTGTCACAAAAGCAACATAGCGATCCTACATTCCGTCGTTGTCGTCAACAGCGTCCACAAATATTCACTCTGTGGCTAAAGTTTTTGAATTTTTAATAGCTTTCTTAAACTATCCTGGATTTCTACCAAGCTTGGACAGAAGCTTGTTTATGATCATAAGATAGTATCCAGAAGTAAATTTAAAAAAAAAAAACCTGTTTATCCATATTTTACTCATAAATGGACTTAGTTTTTCTGCCAGTTAACATTACATTCACTCTGTGGTTAAAGTTTTTCAAGTTTTAATAACTTTCTTAAACTATCCTGGATTTGTACCATAATTAGACAGAAGCTTGTTTATGATCATAAGATAGTATTCAAAAGTAAATTTTGTTAAAAAAAAAATCCTGTTTGTCCGTATTTTACTTATAAATGGACTTAGTTTTTCTGCTAGTTAACATTACATTCATTCTTTGCATGGTTAAAGTTTTCAAAATTTTAATAACTTTCTTAAACTATCCTGGATTTGTACCAAACTTGGACAGAAGCTTGTTTATGATCAAAAGATAGCTAGTATCTAGAAGGAAATTTTATAAAAAAAAAATTCCTGTTTTTCCGTATATTACTTATAAATGGAGTTTTTCTTCAAGTTAACATTACATACAGTTTGCAGTTAAAGTTTTTAAAACATTTATTAGATTCATAAACCATCCTGGATTCTTTCCAAACTTGAACAGAAGCTTCTTACATTCAAAAGTATCTAGAGAAAAATTTTTAATAATTATTTCCCCATTTTTGTTGAGCCTGCGACTAACAGCAAAAGTAGGCGAGACACGGTTTCCATGGAACCCTTACGAATTTTTCCTGGTCTGTTTGATTTCATATTGTAGGTTAAAAAGTATGTTTATCGTCCTTTTTACCTGTGTAAGAATGATTTTTTTGTGGATCTAATCAGTCAACCAAATGATTCACCCTTGTATCTCTTTCAATGTTGACATTCTTTTCCTTTTAATAGCTGAAAACATGCGTAACCAATCTCCAGCTAAGGGGTTAAATTGAAGGTCACATGAATATGGATTCACTTGCAAGTTAATAAATCATCAGAGATGTTTCTTATCTTATTATACCCCACGCAAATTTTGCATCGGGTATAATGTTTTTGACCCGTCTGTCCGTCTGTCTGTCCATCAGTCCGTCAGTCCTGTTCCTGTCATCGCAACTCCTCTGAAACCACACAACAGAATTTCATGAAACTTTGTAGATAATAAGGACATACTATGTAGACGTGCATATCCACAAAGAATTATTATCAATAGACTTTTCTAGGAGTTAATCTCCTTTAAACTTAAAATTTCGGCTTAGATATACTTCTGCAACAGTTTGTCATCTTAACTCATCTGAAACCACACAAGAGAATTTTCTTAATCTTTGTAGATAATAAGGACATAATATGTAGATGTGCATATCGACAGGAAATTATTATCATTTGACTTCTGGAGGAGTTATGAGTCTTTGAACTTAGGATTCTAGTGAGATTTTGTTTGCCTACTGACAATGTGGGGGCGTGGGGTATGTGAGCATGCTCACAAAGGTTCTTTAATTTTGACAAAATTGAACCAAATTGGCTGCTAAAAGAGAATTATTATTTCACTATATCACTTTCATTGTTGATTGAACAAAAAAAATCATATTTTAATTTTTTTTTATATCTCATAGCTAATGCCTCTTTAATTTTCAATTCTAAAATCTATTATTGTATTTTGTAGTGCTACAGTCAGGAGTGACATGTACCAGGGAAAATGATGCAACAGAATGTGTACCTAATGCTGTATGTAAGAGTGGAGCTTGTACCTGTAATACTGGTTACTATGATGATAATTTTGGTGGCAATGGTGGACAATGTGTGGCAGGTAAAATTGCTATTTTACACATTTGATTGCAAGTATAAATACAAGTTCTGTCAAAGATGTTCTGTTGTTGTTGTCGATCATGTTTATATCACTAATACTTAATCTGTCATTTTTATACGCCAGTTTACGGGACGTATTATGTATACCATTGTCCGTCCGTCCATCTGTCATTCGTCAACATTTCGGACAATAACTCCAAAACTCTTTAAACAATTTGCATGAAACTTTAGTGAATTGTTTATATCTATTGATCTAAGCTCCCTTTTGATTTTTATAAATTTAAGAGCTCACATTTCCGAGTTATGGGGTTGTATTCATAAAAAAAGGGGGGTTTTCCTGTTTTCGGACAATAACTCAAAACTGCTTTGAGCAGTTTTCATGAAACTTTGGTGAATTGTTTATATCTATTGACTTAAACTCCCTTTCGATTTTCTTATAAATTTCGGATATGACATTGAGGAGTTATATAACTTTATCTGTGAATTGCCAAAATCAACAGGCTTTATGTTCACTTCAAAACCATAACTTTTTAATTGCAGAATTACAGTCAGGGGTAGACTGTTTGAAAGCAAACCTGCCAACAGAGTGTATACCTAATGCTGTATGTCAAAGTAATGGTAGCACAGGACTCCAGTGCACTTGTAACAGTGGATATTATGATAGTAACTTTGGCAATATAGGTGGATCTTGTGTACAAGGTGAATATTTATGGAGTATTATTCTTTAGCAGTTCCATACATTTACAATTTTAAGGGGAAAACTCAAATGTAAAAAAGATTATTAATATATTTGACATACTGTATAGACGTTTGCCTTTTGATGAAGACTTCTTTGGAGGTTTTGTGGTGCTGCTTTGTTGCTGTCTCATTCACATATACCCCACAACTGCATTTATTCATGTTAAAGCTGAAATTAGTAATCCTTAGCGCTTAGAAATATTATTAGTATACTGTATTACATGGAATAATTATAAAAGATATAATCATACTTGCCAACCTCTGACAATGAGAAATCATGTCATGACATGACATGACATGTCAAAAAGCGTGTGAAAACGCGCGACGAAGATGCAGACTTTTTTTATATGAACAATGTTCATAATTTCACAATACATGATTATACAAATTTGTTAATATATAATAAAAACAATATTCTAGAGTAAACTTTTATTGTATTCAACAGTGGTCTGTTTTGCTGCTTTTAAAGCAACACTCTAGGCTTAGGCACATATTCAAAACAACTGCCAGTTTGATTACATTTACTTGATAACAAGGCACACAATATATCATTGTCGAGTTCTGATGAGACAGAATTCAGTGTAGATTTCTTTATAATTGAAAATGTTCTCTCACAGTCAGAATTGATATTTGGCTGTACTTAAATAGCTTGATCAAGCTTTGAAAGAGTGTCATAACGTTTTTTTGCCATCTAAAATGTCATCTGTTATCTTTGTCATTGCTCCCAACGAACTATATAATTATGTTGCTATTCAGCCTATTGTCTCTGAGACTGAGGCTATTGTCTGGTCAAAACTGGGTAGTTCATCAGAAGACAGCTGGTACTATGAGAACTGATCCAACAGTTCCGTGATATTTCCATCCCCTTTGGCCTGTGGGAATCTGTTGGCTAGATTTGAAACTGAAAAAGAAAAGTATTTTATTATTTGATTACCATTAAGCACGTTAAATGCTTAATCAAATCGCTACATTGTAGTTCTCTCACATGTATTGTTATGATTGCAACATAGGGTGCACAATGCGTTACCGTCTCTCGATAATTTAAACTTGAACTCCCAAATATAATTTGTAAATATTGAAATTTATCTTGGTACGTACACATCGTTTTTGCTTAGCAATCGGCTCGGTACAGGTCCTGAAAGCGAACTATTTCTGTCGACATTTTCCCTAAGTGAATTTGAAAGAAAGAAAGTCACAAAATCGTAAAAACTAATCACAAACTACTTACCTTAAGGGCTTTTGCTGTTCGTCCATATAGAAAAATAAACAATGGCGACGATATTACTTCATAATTTTCGGTATTTTTTGTCTTATAATGAAAAAACCCGAGAATCGCGATATCACTAACGACCAAAAAATCTAAACAACGAAAAAGCGTGTAATTGCGTGTAAAGTGGCGAAACGCGTGTACACGCCATGTGACAAAATCCTCGCGTGTAAACCGTTGAAAAAGCGTGTATTACACGCGAATATCATGTCAGTTGGTAACTATGGATATAATAAACTCAAGGCATATAAAAAATATCCACATATTCCAGAAACTTTTGGGAAGAATTTCTCCAAACAAAAATACTGAAAATTTAGAAATTAATGCATGCATTTATTGTTGCGAATCACTGATTACTGGTATAAAATATGTGAGATCTAAATTAATGCGATTTCAAAAATTTTGAGAAGGAAAATCACTGATGAAATTTTGAATGCAAGATTTATTATTGTGAGCCTGAAATTGTCAAATTAATGAAAATACCGCAATAATTTATGAATTTATAGTAACAAATGTATTCACAAATTGTCCTCATGGTAATGATAAAGAGTACCTGTTGGTAATCTGGATAATAGTACTCTGATGATGCACACTTCGATTGATACTCTGTCAATTTAACAGTTTACATCAGACAGGGGTTAAAAAATTTTGTTACAGCTAACTAGCCCAGGACTTATTGGTAGCTGGATTTTACTAGTCCTGGTGGAAAAACTTCTAGCACAGCAAAACAGACCTGTTAGCCCAAGACTTTTAATCAGTTTGATCAGGAAAATAACGGCAATATTCAAAAACATCGTCTCCAGATTGAATATCATCAGCAACATCCAACCTTGGTATGGGAATCTCTCTATCCACAATAGAAAAATGCTATTTTCATCTCTCCCTGGTAGTTTGTGGCATTTTTACTTTTAGTGATATATCAGCCTCATCTCACCCTTCATCTAAAGTTCTTAGTTTCAAAACTTATGATGTTCATGGGGTGCCCCTACTGAAATATTTAGCAATACTTTGTTGATGGTTATGTGCTGTCTGCCATTACAGGTCATATCGATGAATGCATCATACCCCCAGTACCTTCAATTGAAAGTCTCTGTATGAGCAATATTAATAAACATATCCCCAGTAATGAGGAATCTATACTGAAAGAATGTGAATTGCCATGGATACATGTACCAGTCCACCAAGTTAAACGATGCGGTGGAAAAAGAAATACCTGGTGTCAGAATATTTTTATAATAGTTATGCCCTTTGGAAACATTGATCATATTGAAAATTGCATCATTAGCCCTCTCATTTGTATAATTCTTGCCAGAGTTTTATGAAACTTATATCATAAGTTTATATCAGCAAGGTCTTTCACACTTTTGAAAATAAGTGCTGATCAAATATTTTTAACAAGTAATGCCACTTGGAAATATTAATTATAACGGAAATTGCATTGTATTTGCTCTGAAGACTTCATTTCTTCAAGATATTTATAAAAAAAAGTTTTAAAGTAAAAAAAGTGTATTTTTTAAGTTATTGCCTTTGTACCTTGAATAGATAAAATATGCAGCATGGGGGACATTGGAACTCTGTTCTTTTATTCATTCTATTTTTCAAACATGTGCTGTGGATTCATTTATCTTCGTGGGTACCAATTTTCGTGGATTAAGGAAAACTTACATGTTCGTGGTTTTGATGAATTCTGCTTACAATCCTATAGAAAATTTGCTTTTTGTTGAACATTTAATTTTGTGGTTCACCTTTACCCACAAAATCCATGAAAATTGGTATCCAACGAATAATAATGAAACCCCAGTACAATATCAGTTCAAATTTCTGGATCCTTGATGAAGTAATAATTGAATCCAAATGGCTAAAATAAAAAAAGTGAGGAAGGGGTTTTCCAATTTCTATTTTGGCATATTGGATAACAAGTTTTAATTGTCTTAAGGCGTAAATGTTCTAGCCCTGTGCGTTGGGCTAGTGGATTTTTAAACCCCTGATCAAAACGTCAAATTTATATCAAAAGTCTCAAGTTTGATATTATTTTTATGTCAATCATTGTAATGATGCCCAAATGATTACCATGATTGCCTTTTTATACGACAGCAAAAAAAATTTGCGGTCTTATATTGGTATGACATTGGCGTCGTCGTCGTTGTCCAAAGACACATTGGTTTTCGCACTCTAACTTTAGTTTAAGTGAATGGATCTCTATGAAATTTTACCATGAGGTTCAATACCACAAAAGGAAGGTTGAGATTGATTTTGGGGGTTATGGTACCAACAGTTAAGGAATTAAGGGCCAAAAATAAGCATTTTTCTAGTTTCCAGACAATAACTTGTGTTCAAGTGTATGGATCTCTCTGAAATTGTACTGCAAGGTACCATACCACAAAGGGAAGGCTGGGATTGATTTTGGGGGTAATTGCCTCAAAATTTTAGGAATTAGGGGCCAAAAAGGGGCCAAAAATAAGCATTTTTGTAGTTTCAGGACAATAACTTGTGTGTAAGTGTATGGATCTTTATGAAATTGTACTACAAGGTTCCATATCACAAAGTGAAAGCTGGGTTTGAATTTGGGGGTAATTGCCCTAAATGTTTAGGATTTTGGGGCATAAAAGGGCCAAAAAACAAGCATTTTTCTAGTTTCCAGACAATAACTTGTGTTCAAGTGTATGGATCTCTCTGAAATTGTACTGCAAGGTACCATACAACAAAGGGAAGGCTGGGATTGAGTTTTGGGGTGATGAATCATAAGGGGGTTCAAAACATTTGGGGGGGGGGGATTTTTTTCCCTTTTTTTTCCTTTCAAATTTTTCATTTTAAATTGGTTATTTCTGATTTATATATAAAAGCAAATAATAATGATATGGTTTGAATAGGTAAATTAAAAATTTTTAAGTTCTTAGACCACATTCATTCTGTGTCAGAAACCTATGCTGTGTCAAATATTTAATCACAATCCAAATTCAGTGCTGTATCAAGCTTAAATGTTGTGTTCATACTTGCCCCAACTGTTCAGGGTTTGACCTCTGCGGTCGTATCAAGCTGCGCCCAGCGAAGCATTTTATTGTTACTAAGTCTAAAGGGATTAAAATTGGGATAAAAAAAATGTTCGACTTGCTCAAATATTTTTTGTAAGCCCTGCATATTGTCCTATTTCGGGACCTGCAAGACCCAGGGATGCTGATAGATGTATCTCACTATAGCCTTCACCCCTAAAGTTCTTTGGTCTGGGAGAAACTGTGATGGGTAAAGAAAAAAATCAAAAAATCAGGATTTTCACAACTTTTCCCAATTTTGGCTTCACCTGGACTCTCAACTGGAAGTAATCCTTGCTTAAACAGAATTTGATGATAAACATGCATGATCAGTAGTTATGTTCCCACTGGTTCCCACTGTTATTTTGGTAATTCTAAACATCTGCAATGCTTGGGCTAGACACCGACAGGAAGCCCACCCCACCAGAAATGCCAATTTTCTCTATTAATTTTCAAAATTTGTATTTTGGCTTAAACTGCACTTAAAATCTGAGGAACATGCCAATAAATAGCCTTTAAAGTTGAGAAAACTTGTTGAATAAAATACAATGACCTTTTGTTGCCCTTTGGTCTCTGCTGGAGAGTTGCCTCATTGGCAATCATACCACATCTTCCTATTTTTATATTTACAGAATACATAATTAGTCATATTAACTGTATGTATATTGTTCATTCATCAATTCATTTTACTACCCATTCATTCATATTTACATAGTCTGTGACATATGACAATGGACCTTGCATGTATAAATGCACTAATTGCATGGGAACAGTGTGCGTTACAAGCTGTAAATATTATAATTTTAATTCGAGAACTATTCATATTACACTCTTCAATGAATCATTCCTGTAGACAGTTGGTGAAATCATTTCCCAAACATTTATGTTTCAGGTACAGTACAAATATTATTATATTTTCTAATGTGAACTTCCATTTAGGTTTGAATGAAGTATGAATATGTTTCTTATATATATGTAGGACTCTAAAGTGTGATGGGGACACTAAAATACGATGGTCACGCTAAATTGCAATGGTTTGGTATGCTAAAGTGTGATGGTCTGTGCTGTTCAATAGAACACGCTGAAGTCAGATGCCTCAATATGCTAAAGTGCATTTTTCTGCAAAAGTGTATTTGTTCATGAAAGTAAGGAAGTTAGCAACTTTAAACAGCATTAATTCTGACATTACAAGCCATTTGTGCAAACAAAAACGGACATGCCTGAAAACCAGAATATTTGTCCAGGGTTTTTATTAGACAATAAAAAGAAAAAAGAAAAAAAAAACAAATGATCCCCATCCGGAACATTTTTGTTGGTGCTGGTAGAGGATAAATTGTATTTACAAAAGGGCCTCAAAACAAACAGTGTAAAATAATTCAAATGAGAAAACTAACGGCCTGATTTATATACAAAACAATAAACAAATAAACAAATATGAATACAGTAACAAACGACTACCACTGAATTACAGGCTCCTTGCTTGAAACAGGTACATAAAGTATATATAATAGCTACTGCAATGAAACTATTTCACTTTTTTAATAACTATCCTACATTAAAAAAAAATAAGAAGATGTAGTATAATTGTCAATGAGATAAATGAAATATCCACCCAACACCAAATGTTGTTGATGTTTGCAACTAATAACCGTACAGCCTGCAACATGAAGTTTTGGCCCATGCCGCATAGGAAGTTATATAGGGCCACAGAATGACCAGTGTAAAACAATTCAAAAGAGAAAGACAACGGCTTGATTTATAAACAAAACAGTAAACGAAAAACTATAAAAAACATTGCCTGAACACCTTTTCCATTACACCCTAGCACTTTAGCGTGCTATAATATCACACTTTAGCAAGATATACCATCGCACATGAGTGTGTTATACCATCGAACTTTAGCCAACAATACCATGTCACTTTAGCGTGTCATATAATCACACTTAAAAAAACAAACAGCCATTGGACTTTTAGTGTTTTCAACCATAGCACTTTAGCGTAGACCATCACACTTTGAGTCCTACATATATAATATATTAGATTGGTATTTAATGATTTATATTTGTAGTCAAGAAATTGTTGGTCTCTTATAAACACTTCTATTTTCACCCTGTGAGTTTACTTTCAACATATTGTACATTTTAAATTGAAACAGAATAAAAAGAGATTTTGGTTTATATTAGGGATGTCAACGAGTACTCGAGTATTCGTGTATCGCTCGGTAGTACTGAGTATCGAATTCCAAAATTGATACTCGACTAATCGGTTTCCTGTTAGTATGTTGTTGCCTTCTGAAAGATTTTTTTTAAGAGCGCCTCCTAGGAAATCAAATATTAATCAAAATTCAAATACGTCTTGAATGTTTGCGTTTAATTGTCATTTAAAATTCCCTCGAACAGAGGTAAGCTATTAACAAGAGCACCTTTCCAAGGCTTCACTTTTAGCCAATCGTGTCTTAGTCATTCCACCACCTCTGTACTGTAAGCGCAAATATTTTCATCCGGACTGTTAGTTACAAAAAAAGTGAAGACACTCGTCCCAGAAAATGTTGACAAGATATTATTTCTGAATAAGAACAAACTCGTTGCACCCTGTGTTGACCCCTAATCAGCACCCATTTGTTGATCATTTAATGTGTTTCTTTAAGATTCTCAAATACTGTTTTTTTTGAGTAATTTTTTTTCTATAGATGTTTATGAATTAGATTATTGCCAGTTTACATAATTAGTACATGCAGTAAAGGAGCTATCAATTATGGTATAAAATTCCTGTGACTTATTTAGTCCTAGGTAATAATGTTGAGGGTTTTAATCCATAAGATAACGACCCACAATACGTAGTAAAATTGTTTAAATTTTGTGTTTCCATTTTGTAGAGCTAGTACTCGAGTATCGCTCGGTAAATCCAACAAGTACTTGATTAGTAAATCTTCACTGAGTTGACATCCCTAGTTTATATCAATGATATATACAACAATCGAATGACACAGAAAAATTTAAGACATTTAAAGGTCACCATATAAGTTTTTAGCAATAGACAGTATGTCAGCAAAAATTAAGGAACTATAAAAGAACTTTTTAAGTTGATCATATATGTCCTTGTTTTTTAAAAGAATTTTAAAAGTGCAATTTCTTTTAGTTAATGGCTGAATAAATCTCTTGAGACATGCCGTGCTGTGAAGTTTTGTAAGTTGAAATGATTAAAAAACCTCAGCAACTCTAAGAATACAGCCTTCCTGTTTATATTATTTCATCAAATCAAATAAATATATGATTTTGTATTTTAGAGCTACAGTCAGGAGTGACATGTACTCAGAATAATCAACCAACAGAATGTGTACTTAATGCTGTGTGTGAGAGTGAAGGATCAGAACTGAAGTGTACCTGTTCCAGTGATTATTATGACAGTAATGGTAACAATAATGGTGGCACATGTAGCCCAAGTAAGTCATGATGTCATTACTTCATTACATTTGCAGTTTTATTAGTACTTCCAATTTGGAATTTAATTTTAATGATTAAACTCTGCAACCATATATGTGTGCTCAATTATAAAACATGTATTAATTTTATTTTGCATATAAATGTTTGCTTTGTATTTAAGTACATTAGAATAAAGTTTACATGAGCTTATTGTCCCCTGGCCATCAGGTTGCGGGGGACATAAAATACTGTTGATATATGAAAAATTGCATTGTAAGCCCTCTGATGTGTACAATTTTGCCAGATTTTTATCAAATTTATATCAAAAGTTTATATACCCAATGTCTCTGAAAGGTAAAAAAATAGTGCTGATCAAATATTTTTAGAGGAGTTATGCCCCTTGAAAATATTAATTATATTGGAAATTGCATTGTATTTTCTCTGAAGCCTTAGTTTTATATCTAAGATATTTGTCAAAAAATTTTTTTTATTTATTGCCCTAGGATAGATAAAATATGTGCAATGCAGGAGACATTGGAAATCTGTTCTTTTATACTATGTTCCAATTCCACAACTTATGGGAACCTTGATGAAAGTTTTGCATCCATGTTAATTTCAGGTACTATACATGCACAATGTTCAATCTTACTGAAGGATTAACTGCAATGTTAGGCTCTTTTTAAGAATCAAATAATTATCTTTGCAAGATCAAGATTAAATAGTCTTGGAGGCAGTTTTGCCTACTATTTTTGTCTGATGCCAATTGCAATGATTCAGGTTAATGTCTAAGGGTGTGGCTGTACATGGTTTTCAACAAACATTTTTGTTAGTAAAAAAGTTATATCCATTATGAAGTACTGTATTTCATATATCTAAATATTTTGAGAAAAACAAAGACTAAAAGTCAAATGTGTTAGTTTATATGTTAGGGGTTGTTTTAAGTCAATTTAAAAAGGGGGAGGGTTGAGATCTCAAACATTTTGTTTAACCCAACTCATATCCATGTTTCTGTCCATAATCATCAATGGTCATCTTTTATCATATGTTTTTGTTATTTTGAGAATAATGTGGTAATTTACAGATCTTCGATTGTTGTCAATTTATTCACAACTTTCGTAGAATAGGGAATATTTAGAGCTTGGTAAATTGTATAAACACTTGTCTATTGTTGAAGACTTTTTTGTTGCCCTCTAGATATATTTTGGTTATTTTTTATGGATTGGTTTTTATACGACCGCAAACAAATTTTGAGGTCGTATATTGGTATGGCGTCGTCGTCGTCCTTCTTCGTCCTCGTTGGCGTCCGAAGACACATTGGTTTTCGCACTCTTACTTTAGTTTAAGTGAATGGATCTCTATGAAATTTTACCATAAGGTTCAATACCACAAAAGGAAGGTTGGGATTGATTTTGGGGGTTATGGTACCAACAGTTAAGGAATTAAGGGCCAAAAATAAGCATTTTTGTAACTTCCAGACATAACTTGTGTGTTAGTGTATGGATCTCTCTGACATTGTACCACAAGGTTTCATATCACAAAGGGAATGCTTGGATTGATTTTGGGGTAATTGCCCCCAAATTTTAGGAATTAAGGGCCAGAAAGGGGCCAAAAATAAGCATTTTTATACGCCCGTAAAATTTTTGACGGGACGTATTATGGTATACAAATGTCCGGCATCCGTCCGTCTGTCTGTCTGTCCAGCATAAACATGTGGCACCGTAACTTGAGAATGACTTATCCAAATTTCATGAAACTTAATATAGTTGTTTCTTATGATGGTCAAACGATCTGTATACTTTTTGGTGAAAATAAGATTAAAACCTTTTAAGTTACAGGACTTAGTAACTAAAACAGGTGTGTGTTTTTTTTCACATGTCGCGCCGTATCTCAAAAACGATTTAAGATTATTGCTTAAAATTTTACACACTTCTTAGTTATATTAATCTAAAGATCTGTATACTCTTTGGTTTTGATTCAAAATTTTATTTTAGAGATATTGAGTTTTTTGTAAAAAAAAAGGGGGGTTTTCGCATGTCACACTGTATGTCAGAAACTATTTATGCTTATTGCATAAAAATTCACACACAAGACGACGGGCTTATCATGCGCTCATGGCGCAGCTGTTTATTCTAAAATCATGACAATAACTTGTGTTCAAGTGTATGGATCTTTATGAAATTTAACTACAAGGTTCCAAATCACAAAGGGAAAGCTGGAATTGAGTTTGGCGTAATTGCCCAAAACGTTTAGGAATAAGGGGCCAAAAAGGGGCCAAAAATAAGCATTTTTCTAGTTTCCAGACAATAACTTGTGTTCAAGTGTATGGATCTTTATGAAATTGTACTGCAAGGTACCATACCACAAAGGGAAGGCTTGGATTGATTTTGGGGGTAATTGCCTCAACATTTTAGGAATCAGGGGCCATAAAAGGGCAAAAAAACAAGCATTTTTGTAGTTTCAGGACAATAACTTGTGTGTAAGTGTATGGATCTTTATGAAATTGTACTACAAGGTTCCATATCACAAAGGGAAAGCTGGTTTTGAGTTTGGGGGTAATTGCCCTAAACGTTTAGGAATTTGGGGCCAAAAAGGGGCAAAAACAAGCATTTTTCTAATTTCCAGACAATAACTTGTGTTCAAGTGTATGGATCTCTCTGAAATTGTACTGCAAGGTACCATACCACAAAGGGAAGGCTGGGATTGAGTTTGGGGGTGATGAATCAGAAGGGGGTTCAAAAAATTTGGGAGGGGATTTTTTTTTCCTTTTTTTTCTTTAAAATTTTCCATTTTAAATTGGTTATTTCTGATTTTTATATAAATGCAAATAATAATGATATGGTTTGAATAGGTAAATTGAAAAATTTTAAGTTCTTAGACCACATTTATTCTGTGTCAGAAACCTATGCTGTGTCAAATATTTAATTACAATCCAAATTCAGTGCTGTATCAAGCTTGAATGTTGTGTCCATACTTGCCCCAACTGTTCAGGGTTCGACCTCTGCGGTCGTATCAAGCTGCGCCCCAGCGGAGCATTTTATTAGTCTTATTAATGTATATAACAATTACTGGTTTTCAAACTAGAGTTCCTTGAGCGATCCTTTTTATCCTTGAATCTGTTTATGATATGAATATTGTGTTTTTCCAGAGATACTTGTTGATCAAGGATGTACTAATAATGGACTATCAGACCAGTGCAAAGATTCCAAATCACAATGTACTAATCCATCTGGTGTTTACAAATGTGCTTGTATAACTCAATATTATAATAATGCAGGGATCTGTACTCAGCGTAAGTAGCTAAGTTAAACTTATTATACCATTTGCAATTTTTATTAGCTCACCTAGCCTAAAATGCCCTGTGAGCATTTGCCATCACTTACCTCCGTTGTCTGTTGTCTATGTGTCAGTCATTCGTTGCAAACTTTTAAAAATATCTTCTCTGGAATTACTGGGCCAAATGTAACCAAACTTTACCTGGATGTTCCTTAGGGTAAATACTTTTGAAATTTTATCTAGGGATTTGATCCATCATTGAACATGGCTGCTGTTGCTAAAAATAGAAAGTAAGGGTAAAATGCAGTGTTTAGCTTATATCTAAAAAAAACTAAAGCTGTTAGATTAAATCTGACATGCCTGAAAATGATCAGCAAGTCAAGGTGTATCATCTGTGGAATTTTCAGAAAATTGGAAAAATCATTTAGGAGTTATTTCCCCTGAAATTTCAGTTTTTTTATTAAATGTCAAAGTTTGTAGCTTATATGACATTGGTACAATTATTCAGTAGGTCAAGGTCTATCTCCTGCCAAATTTAATGAAAAATCATACAACCCACTCTGGAGTTATTGCTCCTGAAATGTCATTGTTTTTTTAATATTTCACTGTTTTTATACGACCGCAAAAAAATTTTGCGATCGTATATTGGTATGACGTTGGCGTCGTCGTCGTCTTCGTCGTCGTCGTCTGAAGACACATTGGTTTTCGCACTCTAACTTTAGTTTAAGTGAATGGATCTCTATGAAATTTTACCATAAGGTTCAATACCACAAAAGGAAGGTTGGGATTGATTTTGGGGGTTATGGTACCAACAGTTAAGGAATTAGGGGCCAAAAATAAGCATTTTTGTAACTTCCAGACATAACTTGTGTGTTAGTGTATGGATCTCTCTGACATTGTACCACAAGGTTCCATATCACAAAGGGAATGCTGGGATTGATTTTGGGGGTAATTACCTCAAAATTTTAGGAATTAGGGGCCAAAAAAGGGGCTAAAAAAAAGCTTTTTTATATGGACAAATACTTTAGTACAAAACATAATTTAAAGCAGTCTAAGGGAGATAAATCAAATACATCATTTGAATTACCTCCCTTACACTGCTTTTAAATTATGTATAAAGTAATGGTTAATGAACAATTAAGACAATTTAAAATAGTGTAAGGGAGGTAATCCACATACAATGTTTTGATTACTTCCCTTACACTGCTTTTAAATTATGTTTAAAGAAATGTATATTTATAAAGGAAGACCAGTAAAAATATCTGCAAATGTTGCATCTTTTTTTTTTACAAAAAAATCCATATGAAATATTTGACACCATATTTTAAATTCTATTATAAAATAGATTAAGTTAGCACTATGGTAAATTTAAATGGGTAATTATTTTAAAAAATCTTTTTTATGGGGGGTAAAAAGAAATTGTGGGGGGTCAATTTTTTCTCATTTCAGATTTCAGAAATTAAGGTAGATAGGGTGTCTTCCTCCATCTTGGATTTTGAAATACCAGAAAACAATCGGTCTAGATCTATAATAAAAGGTGCAAATTTTGAGAGTAGTAGGTAATTCATGTGTAAGAATTTTCATTTCAATATAGAAAATGACATATTTTATCATATTTATGGTTGTATTTTACAAAAAAACAGAACACTTTTGTTTGATTCTATATTTTCCAACTTTGCCACATAAGGGGAGGCAACTCAAATGTAAGGGCAGATAATTCACATAAAGTTACTTTTACAATAGAATGTGTTAGGAATTTACCTATTTTATTATGTAGCAAGAAAACGGGTCCGGTGACCCCATTTTTTCTTTTTCTTATCTGAAAGCATACTATTAGAGCTATCTTCTCATATTTTATCTCAAAATTCTATGGTGTAGTTTTCATTTTATGGCAGAAAATTGGGTTTTCCATGCATAATCTATACAAAATCTGTCAATTTTGCACAACCTGTAGCGTGAAATAAGGCCCGTGACCCATTCTTTTTATTATTTTTTTTAAAAAAGCATGATATAAACTACATTTTGGCAAATTATTAAAAAATTCTGTGGATTATAATTTAGACACCCCATCTACCTTAAAAAGAATTATTCTTCAAATATTTTTTTTTTTTCAAATTTCAAATATTGAAAAATTTCAAGAAGTAATCTTTAATTGCACAGTATGGCGCATTAGATTTGTAAAATCTTTGACCACATTTTTTTATTTGTTATGCCAAATCTGACCGTGTATTTAGATTTTTTATTTTGGGTCCAGTTTTCAAATTGGTCTACATTAAGGTCCAAAGGGTCCAAAATTAAACTTAGTTTGATTTTAACAAAAAATGAATATATGGGGTTCTTTGATATGCTGAATCTAAACATGTATATCGATTTTTGATTTCGGGCCCAGTTTTCAAGTTGGTCCAAATTGGGTTCCAAAAGAAACCTTTGTTTGATTTCAACAAAAATTGAATATATTGGGTTCTTTGATATGCTGAATCTAACCGTGTATTTAGATTTTTTATTTGTGGGCCCCACTATCAATTTGGTTCATATTGAGGTCAAAAGGGTCCAAAATTAAACTTTGTTTTATTTCATCAAAAATTGAATTATTGGGGTTCTTTGATATGCCAAATCTAACCGTGTATTTAGATTTTTAATTTTGGGTCAAGTTTTTAAATTGGTCTACAGTAAGGTCCAAACGGTCCTAAATAAAACTTAGTTTGATTTTAACAAAAATTGAATATATGGGGTTCTTTGATATGCTGAATCTAAACATGTATTTAGATTTTTGATTTCGGGCCCAGTTTTCAAGTTGGTCTAAATTGGGGTCCAAAATTAAACATTGTTTGATTTCAACAAAAATTGAATATATGGGGTTCTTTGATATGCTGAATCTAACCATGTATTTAGATTTTTTATTTGTGGGCCCCGCTATCAAATTGGTTCATATTGAGGTCAAAAGGGTCCAAAATTAAACTTTGTTTTATTTCATCAAAAATTGAATTATTGGGGTTCTTTGATATGCCAAATCTAACCCTGTATTTAGAGTATTAATTTTGGGTCCAGTTTTCAAATTGGTCTACATTAAGGTCCAAAGGGTCCAAAATTAAACTTAGTTTGATTTTAACAAAAATTGAATATATGGGGTTCTTTGACATGCTGAATCTAAACATGTATTTAGATTTTTGATTTTGGGCCCAGTTTTCAAGTTGGTCTAAATTGGGTTCCAAAATTAAACTTTGTTTGATTTCAACAAAAATTGAATATATGGGGTTCTTTGATATGCTGAATCTAACCATGTATTTAGATTTTTTATTTGTGGGCCCCGCTATCAAATTGGTTCATATTGAGGTCAAAAGGGTCCAAAATTACACTTTGTTTTATTTCATCAAAAATTGAATTATTGGGGTTCTTTGATATGCCAAATCTAACCGTGTATTTAGATTTTTAATTTTGGGCCCCGTTATCAAATTGGTCCACATTGAGGTCAGAAGGGTCCAAAATTAAACTTTGTTTTATTTCATCAAAAATTGAATTCTTTGGATTCTTTGATATGCTGAATCTAACCATGTATTTAGATTTTGAATATTGGACCATAATAGGTAAATTAAAAACATTTAAGTTCTTAGACCACATTCATTCTGTGTCAGAAAACTATGCTGTGTCAAATATTTAATCACAATCCAAATTCAGAGCTGTATCAAGCTTGAATGTTGTGTCCATACTTGCCCCAACTGTTCAGGGTTCGACCTCTGCGGTCGTATCAAGCTGCGCCCTGCGGAGCATTTTATTGGTTATTATCTCTAAAACTATATATACACAAAGAGAGAAATTTTAAGCAGTCCAATATGTCTTAAATTATAAGATCTACAGATAAGACAACTTGGCAGAAATCGCTAGATGACACCTATAGAGTCATATTGCATTTAAATGATGATATTTAGCATTATGTTGCAAAGTTAAAAGATAAATGTCAAATTCCCATTATTTTTGCAAGGTATGCAATTCAGGGTCTAAGAACCCTCTTCTTCAGCATGTGCCGTAACAGTGGTATATGCACCCCAACCAGACTATTTCTGAAAGGATTAGAGGATTTTGAGGCTATTTTTTTATCATTGTCAGTTCCAAAGTAAAACTAATTTTACATTAAAGGTTTTCCTTAAATTAAATGGAGATTGACCCTTTTTTCATTGTTAAAAAAAATAACTTAAGAAAGACAAATTATGATACAAATTATGATTTGAACTGTTTTGAAAATTGACTTTTCTTATTAAACTTGGTGAAAGACTTTTTGGGGCATATACCAGTTACTGATTTAATTTTTAATATCTTACTTTTTATATAGAGACAGCTGTAGGAGTTACATGTGATCCCTTTCGAACAGGTGAATGCCTAGATACTTTCTCGAAATGTGTGTCAGCTGATGTTGGATATAAGTGCCTTTGCAATGTTGGATATTATGATTTAAGTGGAACATGCACAAAACGTGAGTTCAAAATTTAAACATAACCAATAGATTTGTTAACTGCATTTTTGTATAATTGTGTAATTATGTATGCAGGATATTGTATTTGGTTAATTATACTGTTAACAAACTTATTTTCACTGAAGTATTTCTTCCCTTTTAAGCTCACCAGGGCCCAAAGGGCCCCATGTGAGCTTATGCCATCACTTGGCGTCCGTCGTCGTCGTCTGTCGTCGTAAACTATTTAAAAAATCTTCTCCTTTGAAACTACTAGGCCAAATACCTTCAAACTTTAACTGAATGTTCCTTAGGGTATCTAGTTTATAAATTGTATCCAAAGTTTTGATCCATCGACAAACATGGCCGCCATGGCTAAAAATAGAACATAGGGGTCAAATGCAGTTTTTTGCTTATATCTCAAAAACTAAAGCTTTTAGAGCAAATCTGACATGGGGTAAAATTGTTCAATTGGTCAAGATCTATCAGCCCTGACATTTTCAGACGAATCGAACAACTCATTGTTGGGTTGCTGCCACTAAATTGGTAGTTTTAAGGAAATTTTGCAGTTTTTTGTTATTATCTTGAATATTATTATAGATAGATATAAACTGTAAACAGCAATAATGTTCAGCAAAGTAAGATCTACAAAAAAGTTTATATGACCAAAATTGTCAATTGACCCCTTAAGGAGTTATTGCCCTTTAAAGACAATTTTACACAATTTGTTCATCAAGTTTGCTAACATTTAAAAATCTTCTCCTCTGAAACTACTGGGCCAAATACCTTCAAACTTCATCTAAATGTTCCTTAGGATATCTAGTTTATGAATTGTATCCGAAGTTTTAATCCATTGACAAACATGGCCGCCATGGCTAAAAATAGAACATAGGATGCAAATGCAGTTTTTTGCTTATATCTCAAAAACTAAAGCTTTTAGAGCAAATCTGACATGGGTAAAATTGTTCAATTGGTCAAGATCTATCAGCCCTGAAATTTTCAGACAAATCGAACAACCCATTGTTGGGTTGCTGCCACTAAATTGGTAGTTTTGAGGAAATTTTGCAGTTTTTATACGATCGCAAAAAATTTTTGCGTTCGTATATTGGTATGACGTTGGCGTCGTCGTCGTCGTCTGGCGTCGTCCGGCGTCGTCCGAAGACACATTGGTTTTCGCACTCTAACTTTAGTTTAAGTGAATGGATCTCTATGAAATTTTACCATAAGGTTCAATACCACAAAAGGAAGGTTGGGATTGATTTTGGGGGTTATGGTACCAACAATTAAGGAATAAGGGGCCAAAAAGGGGCCAAAAATAAGCATTTTTGTAACTTCCAGACATAACTTGTGTGTTAGTGTATGGATCTCTCTGACATTGTACCACAAGGTTCCATATCACACAGGGAATGCTGGGATTTATTTTGGGGGTAATTGCCTCAAGATATTAGGAATTAGGGGCCAAAAAAGGGGCAAAAAACAAGCATTTTTTTAGTTTCATGACAATAACTTGTGTGTAAGTGTATGGATCTTTCTGAAATTGTACTACAAGGTTCCATATCACAAAGGAAAAGCTGGAATTGAGTTTGGGGGTAATTGCCCAAAACGTTTAGGAATAAGGGGCCAAAAAGGGGCCAAAAATAAGCATTTTTCTAGTTTCCAGACAATAACTTGTGTTCAAGTGTATGGATCTCTCTGAAATTGTACCACAAGGTTCCATATCACACAGGGAATGCTGGGATTAATTTTGGGGGTAATTGCCTCAAAATATTAGGAATTAGGGGCCCAAAAAGGGGCAAAAAACAAGCATTTTTCTAGTTTCAAGATAATAACTTGTGTTCAAGTGTATGGATCTCTCTGAAATTGTACTACAATGTTCCATATTACAAAGGGAAGGCTGGGATTGAGTTTGGGGGTGATGAATCATAAGGGGGTTCAAAAAATTTGGGGGGGGGGGGGGGGTTTCCTTTTTTTTCTTTTTTTCCTTTTTTTTTTCTTTTAAAATTTTCCATTTTAAGTTGGTTATTTCTGTTTTATATTTAAAAGCAAATAATAATGATATGGTAGGAGGTACACACCAAACAGGATGTGTAGATTATTATAAAATAAATATTGTGCAATAGCAAGAAATTTTCAATTGCACAGTATTGCACAATAGCAAGAAATCTTCAATTGCACAGTATTGCGCAATAGCAAGAAATCTTCAATTGCACAGTGTTGTGCAATAGTAAGAAATATCTAATAGCACAATATTGCGCAATAGCAAGAAATTGTCAATTGTACAGTATTGCGCAATAGCAAGAAATATTCAATTGCACAGTATTGTACAAAAGAAGATACTTTGTATAAATTGCTTATTTCTTGACCAATTTCAATGGGGTTTTATTCTTGAATTCTTTGGGTTCTTTAATATGCTGATTCTAACCGTGTATTAAGTTTTTGGATTTTGGGCCCCGTTTTTAAATTGGTCCACATTGAGGTCCAAAGGGTCCAAAATTAAACTTTGTTTGATTTCATCAAAAATTTAATTATTGGGGTTCTTTGATATGCTGAATCTAACCGTGTATTTAGATTCTTAAATTTTGGTTCCGTTTTCAAATTGGTCTACATTAAGGTCCAAAGGGTCCAAAATTAAACTTAGTTTGATTTTAACAAAAATTGAATTCTTAGGGTTCTTTGATATGCTGAATCTAAACATGTATTTAGATTTTTGATTATGGGCCCAGTTTTCAAGTTGGTCCAAATCGGGGTCCAAAATTAAACTTTGTTTGATTTCAACAAAAATTGAATATATGGGGTTCTTTGATATGCTGAATCTAACCATGTATTTAGATTTTTGATTTTTGGGCCCCGTTATCAACTTTGTCCACATTGAGGTCAAAAGGGTCCAAAATTAAACTTTGTTTGATTTCATCAAAAATTGAATTATTGGGGTTCTTTGATATGCCGAATCTAACCGTGTATTTAGATTCTTAATTTTTGGTTCCGTTTTCAAATTGGTCTACATTAAGGTCCAAAGGGTCCAAAATTAAACTTAGTTTGATTTTAACAAAAATTGAATTCTTAGGGTTCTTTGATATGCTGAATCTAAACATGTATTTAGATTTTTGATTATGGGCCCAGTTTTCAAGTTGGTCCAAATCGGGGTCCAAAATTAAACTTTGTTTGATTTCAACAAAAATTGAATATATGGGGTTCTTTGATATGCTGAGTCTAACCATGTATTTAGATTTTTGATTTTTGGGCCCCGTTATCAACTTTGTCCACATTGAGGTCAAAAGGGTCCAAAATTAAACTTTGTTTGATTTCATCAAAAATTGAATTCTTGGGGTTCTTTGATATGCTGAATCTAACCATGTATTTAGATTTTGGATATTGGACCATAATAGGTGAATGTCCAATTTAAAATTTTTAAGTTCTTAGACCACATTCAATCTGTGTTAGAAACCTATGCTGTGTCAAATATTTAATCACAATCCAAATCCAAAGCTGTATCAAGCTTGAATGTTGTGTCCATACTTCCCCCAACTGTTCAGGGTTCGACCTCTGCGGTCGTATCAAGCTGCGCCCTGCGGAGCATTTTATTATTTATAAAATTATTTAATTGAAAGTAATTCAGAATTTCGATGTTACAACAAAATACTCACCTGTCTATTTTAAAATTAAGCTTTACGCAAATTTATAAAAGATATACATGTATATAACGGCGATTCAGGTATTTTGCCACCATATTCCTCCCCAAATAATTAAGGTTTTTATCATTCATACGAAATGTTGTTCACACCTGCAACGGTGAACCATGTTGGCTAAAATTCACTGAGTGAAGATCAAAAGAATAGAATTACAGAATGCTCATCTTTTAATTGCCTTGAATTTAACCACGCATTCAACAGGTAGTCACTAAGTGTCTCAGTATAATACACATTGTATTTACACAGTACTAGTGGGAAATGTTTGCTAGACTGAAGTAAAAGCCTTCAGGTGAGAATACCAACATGCATTTGTAAAACAATATCAGTTATATATGTTTGTTCAAAATATCCGTCGGAAAAAAAATTCATAAAAATATATTCTATTGTATGATTTACTTTTATTACTATCATGACTATAATCGTATCAGAAATCCTTTAAATATAAATCGTACATTTTAATTTTGAAAGTTGCACGGCTGATTACTTTACTTTCTTAATTATTAGTTGGTTAATAGCTACGCTAAAAGTCGTCGATCCGCTTTAAATCGCGTTATTAGATGATTAACAAACAAGACTTACAATGAGATTTATTCACTCCCAGCATGCAAAAAGACTTAAGTCATATAAGTCAGGAAGTTGGAATAAATTAAATTATTAATCCCAATTTTCTTCTTTATTAGTGTTCATATCCAGATAAAACTTGGTAAATATGTTTTTTTATGGTATTATGAACATAATAAGATGAAAAGTAAAAAATCGCGAATTTTCCCTTTAAGTCTGGATTTTTAGTATCAAATTTCATATTGTCATCTTAAAAAGTCAAGCTGATTAAAATACTACAACCGGAAACTATGTGACAATGATTTGATTTAGTAGTGTCAACCCTGTATAGTGAAGAAGTTTTGGTGTGATTATGACCTGTGTATAATAATATAGCAAATACCAAATATACTGTTTGGTGGTGCGTCTGACAGATGCGGAATGTACAGATTATGTAATAGGTAACAGTTGACATATACTATTGGTATCAGAATTGGATTCTACCCAGAACTTGTTAATTATTGGAAATATTTATTATGTGGAAAACAAAAGGGCCTGGAATGGTGTAATTTTATGGATACGATTGCTGTCAGGCAATCTGTAGTCTTTTACCATTGACTCCTTTCAAAGATCTTACAAGGCTCTCACGTCAACCGTTTTGTGCTTTACATTAGGAACAACTCAGATTCTTAAGATTGTCCTGTTATAAAAAGTAAAAACAAACAAAGAGATTGGATTTAAACAACATTCTGTTAATTTTCTTCTCATAATCCTCATGTTTTGATATCTCCCTTT